GGGTGTTTAAATAAAAAATAGTGAACGTTGATTCTGTATTTATTGACCCCCTGATGCCAATGAAACCCTCGGAGGTGACAGAAAAGGGGAAAAAAATTTTTCATTTTCACGTGGGTCAAGGGTGAAAGTCGATTTTCGCCAAAATTGAATTTTTTCGCCAAGTGAAAGTTGATTCTGTATTTTCTAACAATTCTGATGCTAATGAAACCCCCGAAGGCGCGACAAAAGTCGAAATAAAAATTTTTTTTTCACCCCGAGCCAAAGAGTCAGATTGTCTGTTTTTCCAGAGAGAAAGTCGACTTTCGCCAAAATCGAATTTTTTAGTCGGGCGAGTGTTGATTCCAACTATTTAAGCGACGGGCTATTCAGAACTCTCAAACCTGCAAACGGGGAGATGAGGGTGGCTAAAATATATTCTGCAACCCTGTCTCCTCGTTGGCTACAAATTTCAACCCTCCGCATACATGCCTTCCCCTTCACCCGCTCGTAAAATCACGCGTTCTCGGTAGCATCGAGGAGGACTTCTCAGGACCGAAAAGAACTGAGGATTCGAATGGTCTCTGGAAAAGTACGTCGCAGAACTGATTAGGACTTACCAGGTCCATCTAGGTCTGGAGAGATCTTGAAAGACCTGTGTACGTCCAATCAGAACCAAATCCTCGACTCGGGTTGGAAAATTTGCGGCATTCTGTTACCCCTTAAGGCTTGGTGCCATCGGGCCTAAAAAATCTAATAAACGAGAGATGTATTCAATATTAAATTTAATATTGTACTCATTTATTTTCTCTCCATTAAAATACTCCATAACATTACAAGGTTTGGAAATGATCTAATCAATCTTGAATTTTTTAATTTGATACGTTTATTTCACTCTGCATTGAAATTCAATTGAATTGAGAATCAGCGATGATTAAATTTTTCGAATAGATAATTTATATCCATCGGAGCTCCTGGTGGATATATGCGTATGCAATTGAATTTTATCAAGTTTCATGCTTGACTCCAGATAAAATGATCGAACAATATACGCAACGAGTACTTTGAGACTCATCATGCCGTATTTCGAGCCCGGACAGCTCCTGAAACCGCTGCTGAAGGGTAGAAAGGCGAATGGGTGACGATTCTTTGAGTTCTCTGGGGAAAATCTTTCAGGGATGAACTCCTCGGGCTTCTCCCAGTAGCGGGGATCTCTGTGAGTGGCGAACGGCACCATGTACAGGGAACATCCCTCCGGAACGGTGCAGGTCGCTGGAACAGTGAGTGAACTTGATTTCTGGTGTTCATTTCCATGATTATACAAATCCGCAAATCAAGATCGCATGGGATAGTGGAAAAGAATAACAATAAATATATATAATAAATAATGATTATTCTCCCATCACTCGCGCAAGTGCTCGGGATTTTTTAACCTGCACAACTTGACATTTGTTTGCAACGAAGCTATCGGGAAATATCCGATAATTTTGCAGCTCTTGGGGTATTACTACTGATTATTTTTCCAACCCAAATATCGGGCAATATAATTGGCCCATTCGACATCACGTGGTACAAGCTACAGAGTTTTCAACTGATAATTTTTTGATAATTTTCTCTGGTAGTTGCTATATGAGAAACAAAACATCATGCAGTCGAATTAACCCCTCGTCAAACTGACAGATTGAATTCAATTGTGTCGTTGTGTTAATTATACAATTTTCGTTTCTCAATTGTGAGTTTCGTCTCATGGTCCAATTATATTGCCCGACATTTGGATTGGAAAAATAATCACCCGAATACCACACGAGCTTCAAAATTAATAGGGCATTTTCCTCAAGGTTCCCTGCGTACAAACGAAGTCGTCAAGTTTTTCAGGAAAAATCACTGGTGCTTCGCACTGGTGATTTTTTAACCTGAAAAACTAGACTCCTTCGTTTGTTTGCAGGGAACCTATCGGAAAATACCCGATAATTTTGAAGCTCTTGTGGTATTATAAGTGAGAATTTTTCCCACTCAAATTTCAGCCAATATAGTCAATTGATAATTTTTGATGATTCCACTGGTTATTTTTCATGTTGATATTTACATGAAAAATAAAACATTTCCTGGTCGAGTGACCCCCATTAAAAAATATATTTAAAAAATATAGAATATGGGCCAATTTCGTATATTTTTCAAATTTATAAAGAATGTAAAAAAAATGTGGAAATCATATATTTTCTATTTTTTTAACAAATTGGGCCAATTTGAAATATTTTTAAACATATTTTTCAAAATATAAATTTTTCCGTCTGGGGAGCCCCTGATTGGAACTAACAGATGGATTTTGTTTCACAGTGAAATTTTCTTGATCGAAACTTGGATGGAAAAAGTCTGTTTCGAATACCCCTCAATCTTCAAAATTCATCGGATATTTTCCTCGAGTTTCCCTGCGTATCGGCGATCGGAATGGGCTTTGCAGAAAAATCACTCGTACTTCGCGCTCGTGATTTTTATCCGACACAACTCATCCCTCTCGTTGCTACGCAACGAAGCTATCGGGACATATTCGATAATGTTGAAGGTCTCGGTTTGTACAAGTCAAAATTTAAATGGATGAATAAAATAAATTACTGAGCTCTATCGGTTCTGTGGTTACTCGAGGAAGGAGAGGACCCACAGGGAACAATCTTATGGTCTCTCGAACTATCATATCAATGTAATTTAATTTGGGAATCGCCTCCGTGGTTACTTCCTCGTCACCTACTATCTCTTTAACTTCAGCTCGCGCTTTTGCCTGAAAAATGACGGAAATCATCTACTGTGATTCGTCGATTCGATTGAGGAAATAAATTGAAGCTATTCCATACTTGAACATCAGGATGAATCGCAAGCATCAATGTGACGAAGCATAGAAGTCCTCCTATTGTATCGTTTAACTAAAAATGAAGAATACGATTTTCAGAATTAACTATTCAAGATTTGGTACAACTGAGTTATTACATAATAGTAATCGGATAAAATTTTTAGTCCCTAATCCTCAATTTCTGTCAATTATTCTATTCATTCTATCAAAAGACAAGGATAGAAATCTAATTGATGAATATTCTTCCATTATTCAAAAAAAAATATCGATTTTAACACTTTCCAGAGACATTGAAAAATCAATTTTTTTAGTTCTTTCCGCCCAATTTTTGCATTTTATGAATTTCTTCTCACTGAAATATTGATATCCCTCTAATACTTCAAGAACAAAAGTGATTCGAAACATTTTCTAGCCGATTATCCCTTTCTGATTACTCTTTCATTTCCTTTTTCATTTCCATTCCTGACCATGAGAATGAAGAGTACCGATATCCTTTTACCATATAAAAGGAAAAATAGATTTTTGAAATTTTCTGGAATACGTGGAGAGATTTTTCTATTGCCTCTGAATGATATTTCGAATAACTTTTGTTTTGCGTGTCTGTTTTGATCACAAAAAAACCACTTTTAATTAATCTTTAACATAATTCCTCTTCATTCAATGTTGTCACTTGTGAATGAAGGAAAAATGTATACATATAATAAGAATAAGTATGGAAAAAATTAAATTAATCAAATTGTGAATATGGAAATGGAAATTGAATCAAATTAGTATATTGTGTTACAAGTGCGTAAAGAACCAACTTTTCGCACGCACGCGTAACACATCCTATTTTTTGTAATACCTGACGAGTTCACTGTTCGGAACCGTAGTGGGGGTAAAGTGGTTGCTTTTGTGCACGGTGTGCGTAAAGTTCAAGGTCGTGCGTAAAGTGAATTTCGAAGCTTCGCTTTACGCACGAGAATTCACTTTACGCACGACCTCTGAACTTTACGCACATTGTGCGTAAAACAACCACTTTATACACACTAAACGGTTTCGAAAAGTGAACTTTTGAGGCAGGTATTACAAAATAGTATATTTCGATACGATTGCGGGAAAGTGTTTTTGGGCTCGTGGGAGGTTTATAGCACGAGCCGAAGGCGAGTGATATAATCCCACGAGTCTAAAAACACTTTTCCCGCGAGTATCGAACCCTATTTTTCATCGAAATGTGTGGGAAGTGGGGTTTTGCGCACGCGGAGCGTGCGTAAAATGTTACTTTACACACAGCGTGATAAAAAAAATAAAATAGTATAATTTAATCTGGCGTTCACTAGTTCAATTATAATGAAGAACATACTCCAACAAAAGTAGTGGTAAGTTCGTCCCGTATTTCTGGTTGGGACCACGCACCAGTTTTCATCACGTGATCGATAATAGAGTCTACTAGCGGGCTCATAACTTTCTCATGTGATGCTTCATACTCACTCGTCTTCTGTTCAATCACCTGGAATGAAAGAAAATCATGTAATTCGAAATAGGATTGATCCTTCCGATAACATTTACACTATTGATGAATTCATGGGTCTTGTCAGTTATCCAGTAAAAATCTCTCCCTCGTTGGGTGAGTCTGAAGATGAAGTTTGGGTACAGCCAAGGCCTCGCCATTCTGTGCGTGAAAATGCCCAGAGCCCTGCAAAAATAAACGATCAATTGATCAAGTGCTCCGCAAACCGATCGGTGGACCGATCAGGATGATCCATCTTTTTTATTGGACATCGACGCACTTATCTCCCCTCTCCACAAACGGCTTTTGATCTTCCGGTGTAATAGTTTCTGCCATGCCGAGTATTGTTTCTAGAAAAAAATTACAGGCAACAATAGCGATTTTGGCGTAGATGGGAATTTTCATTTTCATTTTTATTTCATAAAGATTCAACAGCACAGGCCAATTACAGGATCGAATAATGCATATTCAAAATAAAGACAGTAATGAAAAATTAACTACACGGAGAGAAATTTTTTATAAAAATTATCCTACCGTTCTATAAAAGTGTATCATGAGTCATCGCTTCCTCCATTTCAATCCTGAAATTTAGTCAAAATTAATATATGATGATCAAATTTTATTCTACGTTAGAGAAATTTTATTCTGACGCATAATAAATTTTACCCTTCCAGTCCAATAATTTTTATGTAGATAACAACAAATATTCTAGAACGGTTGGTGAATTTTATCCTAGCGGTACAGTAATTTTTACTCTACCGGCACAGTAATTTTTATTTTTATCAGGATAAAATTTCTCTAACGTAGAATAAAATTTGATCATCATATGTTAATTTTTACTAAATTTCGGGGTAGAAATGAGGAAACGATGACTCATGATACACTTTTATAGAACGGTAGGATAATTTTAATCAAAAATTTCTCTCCGTGTATTTGTAAAAAAAAAACTTCATAAGTCGATGGCGAGACAGTATTTACAACATGTACATAGAAAGATATCCTAAGTAAAAATTCATACAAAAACAGGATGGACGAGTTTGACAATTTACGCTAACCAAACGCTCACTCATTAATTTCAATATTTACATTAGTATTCAGTGTTCAATAATTAATGTTGGAATTAGTATCTTATGTCATAAGGCGATAAAAGTATTATCTGGCGAGGATTATAATCACATTCACCAGATAATGCTTTTATCGCCGTGTGATATACGATATTTTATATCGTTGGGCCCGAAAACCGCGATCTAACCGAGCGAAGCGAGGTTAGAATCGCGGTTTATCGGGCCTAATGACATAAAGTATATTTTCTTGAGAAGGCCCGTAAACCGCGATCTAACCGAGCGAAGCGAGAAATTGCATTCATCACACGGTCCAAAAGTATTTTCTGACGAAAGTGATTATAGGCCACATTCGTCAGAAAATACTTTGTGGACCTTGTGATGAAAATAACTATTATGCCACTCATGCCTGAAACCGGCTGGATTACACACTCGACGCTTCGGGTCTCGTGTCTAATTCAGCCGGTTTCAGGCTTCGTGACATAAAATTTTGTTCAGTACTTGTTGGGAAATTTCGTCCTTAACGTGTGTGGTTACATCACTCGCCTTCGGCTCATGCTGTAAACCCCACACACGTTAAAGACGAAATAGCCCCACACGTGCTGAAATATACTATTTTGACACTGCTGCTACGTTCACCTCGTGCCGAAAAAAGCTTCTTTGTTTACTCGTAAACGAAAAGTCTTTTCGTTTTTTGGTGAACGAAAACGGCACAGTTTGGCCACTCGCTGAACGTAAAATAATTGTCAACAAATATTGTTCGACACATGTGAGACGAGAATTTCCAGTTCGTGCAATTGGCAGTCCTCACTCGTATCGAAATATGCTATTTTAACCTAAGGAGGGTAAATAAACGATTTATACCGATACGCAAAATTACTAATTTAATTAATGGTCACCCGGGTCGACGGCGAGATTGGTAACCGCGTGGGTAAGGGTCATTCATTTTACTTCCTGTATTTACACCTGAGAATGATAACTTATTTCTCACACGGAAAACATATAAGGTCGATGTCCTAATACCTGCCTCTGTCCTAGTAGAATTATCGGCGATTCCGATCACCGATATCCATCCATAATTAGATATTTTCTCCCCGATATTGTCTTCTAAATCCTCTTGATAAAATATCACGTGATGACGGTCGCAATAAAATGAATTTCACGCCGTTGGTATTCCGAAAAAGATGTAAATTAAAGGATCGAAGTTGGCACTCGGTGGAATTGCCTCATTCAGTCCCATTTATAGTGATAAGTGTCAAGAGGTGGCCGTTGGAATCATAGCTATTTATTTATTCATGTGAGTATTAAAAGATGCCATAGTTCATCACATGGGGATTGAATTGAATAGTCATCGGAAAAAGAGAAGTTTTGCAAAAATCTGTTTTCTGCCGAAAAATGGTGATTCAGTTATCTGGACGGCAGAACTAACCGATGTCCCAGTGGTTAAACCCGTTTCTCCCCATTGATTCTCGTGTTGTTGTCAGTCCAAGATATTATCATTAGATTAGTAAAAAAAAAATCAGTGCAAGTAGATAAATCGTTCTCAGTTTTTTCTACGGCTCTGACAATTCATTTTTGAATGTGAAAATCAATTAAATTCTTTTCCACACACTAAATGCTGTCAAGACTTTCCGCCCAAGGGAGAAACTTTCTACCCTAGGGTGGAAAGTACTCACTTTCCTCCCGGTCATCAAAGAGCAAAATACGAATTTTCCTTTGTAGGCGGGTTAAAATAGTAGATTGTGCACCAAGGGAGGAAAACAGGACATTCGAACCCGCGTGTCAATTACAGTAAACACGCGGGTTTTGATGTACTGTTTTCCTCCCTAGGTACACATACTCTTTTCCGTCCCGGCGGGCGCAAAGTTATATTTCCCTCCCGCTTCGCGGGAGGGAACTCTGCCTTTGCGCCTACGCCGAGACGGAAAATCGCGGTCTAACCACTGGCGGCTGAAGATCCTTTAATTTCCCTCCCTAGGTTAGAAATATACTATTTCGTCATAACTGCATGGTATAGTTCGATTTTTCTTCGTAAATACAGGGAGGAACGTGGGTTATGTCATTCTGAGGATCGTCAAAAACAACAGAAATCCGAGGAATGGAATAAGCTACTTTCCTCCCGTCATTTGGAGAGGAAAATCGAACTTTCCGTGCAGATATTACGAAAAAGAGCACGTGTACCTCGGGCGGGAAAACATGACTTTCCGCCCTTGATGCACAATATACTAATATTCCTCTCGCTCATCAGATAGCAAAATATAAACTTTTCATTGCAGGCGTGTTAAAAAATGGCATGTGCCTCTCGGGCGGGGAAAATATGACCTTCCGCCCTTGGTGGACAATATATTATTGTTTATTCGTATAACTTCATAGTCGAATAATTTGGTGACAGAATTTGTACCGGTCTACATATAAAATGAATTTAATACTCGTAATTAGTTGTTGATCTTTCCGCTATAGAATAGTTCGGCTACTGGCACATGAAGGTTTCGAGCATTGGAACGAGTGAGGTTTCGGATTCAACTATACTGGGGCATAGCTTTCACATGCAGTATGAATTTCTCTATTTTTATCATTCTTTTATATTTTTATAACTAAAAACGATTGTTTTCTGTTCGGTCAAGTTTATCAAAGCTCAAAAATATCTTATTTATAAAAAATATCACGGTAATTTTTTTAAATAAATATTTTCCGGTGAAGCTTTCCTTGGGGATTCACTTGCTGGGACATCTCCCTCAACCTGATTCCGTTCAGGAGTTATTGAGAATAATCGAGACTTTGATCACTCACTCACCGAATGCTAAATGGCCAATACAGTGCTTCACGTCCTCCTCAACATCAAATTCTTCAATGCCGATCTTTTTTTCCAAACTTGCGACATACATCTTCGAGTAACGATTGAACAGCTCCACGTATGTATCCATCACTGAACTATGATTCAATATTGACAGCAGTATCTTCTTGTGACACCGGTATACAACACCTGATAGAAGAGCAGTGGCACTTGAAAATGAGATGTCAATTTTTTCAAATTTTTCTGAGGCTTTACGAACAAACGAACAATAAATAAACGGGCAAACGAACAATAAACAATTCATTTTTTTCGTACTAATCATTCGTTTTTAAACATATAATCGATCTTCAATGCATGAGAAATCTCACTACAATCGCCCGCGATTTTTAAAACTCATAGAACACTTGTAAATACTTTGAAAATTAAGCGACAGTTGCACTTGAATTCTTAGCGTTGTGAATTTGAATTCAATTTAAGATCACATCGTTCATGGAATCTCTCATTCAGGTTGGAAACTCAGGATAAGTGAAAGGGGGTGGGTTTTCCGTGATAGATTATCGCTGATATTTCAATGGCATCTAGAATTTTCAAATTAATTGCGGAAATTGAACATCACATCCAACTGAATTTTCCCTGGATTAAAAATTCAAAGAAATTGTTGCTTGAATTTTCAAATTATTAAATAGTTTCCGTTATCATTGGCACCTGAAAATTCCAAGTCCATTCAATACTCCAGAATTCAACTAATTTTTCGATAATAAAATGCATGAAAATTTCGTGTGAATGAGTAATTGTTAAAAATTTCAAGATTTTTTATTCGAAATTTCACTGATTTTAGTAATTTTCTGACAGTGTAGTCTCCCCTTAATGAAAATTAAAATATTGATAAATAAAATAATTAGATTCTTCTATAAATAATTTTGTCACCTTCTATGTTGATGAGACCATACTGAACAATCGGTTTCAGCAACTGGTAAACTTGGTCCTTTTGAGTGCTCTTGGTCGATGAAAGTATTATCTGAAAGAATTGAATATAAAATATTCACATCAGAAGATTATCATCACCTATTTTGTATCGTGAAATTAAAAACCTCAAAGTCTCGCGGATCTGTCACTATAACTTTGAGAACCGGTCCCAGCCAAAACCTGAATAAAGGTGCATTCAAGTCACGGCTAATTTTGGTGAAAATCAACGAGGCCCCTGAAATTATTGATAAAAATCATAACACCCATCCCCCCATGACATAAGAGATTCGTTTTATTTTAAAAGTTACTATCGCTCTCCCATAATTCCAAAGCATTCCCCAGAACAGGCAGGGTCGGTGGTCCTGGTAATGTCTTCGCGAATTCAATAAATTTCGCTCTTCGTTGCAAATAATCGCGAATGTTCCTCCACAACTTTATTCCGCTCAGGAAGACGAGCGTCGATAAGAGAATTTCTGCAATAATCCAATAATTCAAATTCTTGACAGCTCGATGTTTGAGAAATTAAAAACTTACCAAATAAAGCGGAAACGTGCGACAGAAATTCAAATGTTCCACTGACGAACGTCATTTTAGTACGAATGCAGGGGACAGATCGCAATTTCCTCACAAGAACTTTGTAAGACCGTTGATAATCGAATGAGAGTATCCTTCAAGAGCAGGCACCTGCTTGCCGTGCATTCTCAATCTCCTTCATCTCTTTTTGTTTCCAATGGTTCCTACCCCAAAACTGGTTATTTGCCTGTTGGACCTTGACCAGATTAAGGTATTTCGCGTGAAAAGCCAAAACAATGATAAATAATTGAAGGATTCATGGGAGAAATGTCTGGGTATGCTGCATCACTGGGATTTTTTTCGCATTTTTATCTAGATATTGGCCTCGAAGAAACCAAGTGGATTATGGCGTTTTTTTTATAAATGAGTATAGCTAATAAACTACTATTGCTAATAAATTAGCATTTTGCTTGCGAATGGATTGTTCTAATTCTTATTTCACTCTTCTCTTCTTCTATTTTTTCATGTTATAGTCATCATCAATTAAATGTCCTAAAAATTTTTGCGTATCATGTCGTTCTGTCAAATGAATCTACATTGAGATCTTCTCACGACTCGAATTCGTTTGTAGTCTGGGTTCAATCAAGGTTCCATCAAGGTTAAATTAGGATTTAGCCTGAGTTTAACTCAGGTTCAGCTAGAAGTTACTCGAGTGCGTGAATCAAGATGAATAAGTATTGAACATAATAGATTGGTCCCTGAGTTTAAAAGAGATACACGGAGCGAAAAATGCAGTAAAAATAACAGAAAAAAAAACGTAAAATTTACGTTTCGAAATTCTACGATTTGTACCGTAAAAATTAACCATCCGTCTGATGACTCACCGCTGTGGGAACAACAAGTTGTTCCGTAATTTTTCTCCAATGATTGAGAAATTTTACGAAACGAAAGATAGAAATAACTTACCAGCTTCATAAAAATTGTTGAACGTTTCAGATTTCTTCTCTTCCATTCCTATAAAAATTACAAAACAGATCAATAGGCACAAATGATTTAAACCGTTTTACCGCTTCTCTTCTTTTCACTCTTTCGAATCAATGTGCTGTCGCCTTCTCACCGCCATAACACTCCCACGTGATTTGACTTTGACCTTGAGAAGGGTCATCATCTGATAAGATTCCTCAAAAACGAATGAACCACCGAAATGCGTCAGAAAATAAGCGGGCAGTTCAAAGTCAAAACAACAAAATATTTTCAACTTGAAATACCCACCATACCGGAATTATCTGATAGCTTTTGTTGACGCACCTGTATGCTATTTATCCTTATGGGATGATTGCAGAGGACACCGCAAGGACCACGAGAGTGGATGATGATCGGTGGTCCTGGTAATGTCTTCGCGAATTCAATAAATTTCGCTCTTCGTTGCAAATAATCGCGAATGTTCCTCCACAACTTTATTCCGCTCAGGAAGACGAATTCAATTATTGGTGACAAGAGGCATTGATTAGTATAATCCTGATGTTTCAAGAAGATGATCATAATCAGTGGAATTGTTGACGATGTGTTGATAAATTTGGAAAAATGTATTGGCTTTCGCTCCAGTTACAATAGTCTCCAGAGGTGTAAAATTTGGGAAATGTGGAAAAATAAATAAATATTGTTCCAAAAAATAAAATTTATTGTTGTTAATTTGCATTGTTAAGGTTTCAAAATCTGAAAACAATTCTTCATTTAAGAAACAAAAAAAATTGATTTTCAGGAACAGATCACGAATTTTCAGGAATACACACCCAATTAAATAAACTTTATTTGAATCAAATAAATTCTCTATTAGATTGGAATGAACGATTTATTTTACACGCACGAAAAAAGTTAATAGAAAAACCTATCGAATTCATTAGAAAATTCTATGAAATTTTCATTATATTTTCTATTGATTTTTGGGCGATTCTATTGACATGTTCAATAGAAAACATTCAATAGAAAAAGTCAACAGAATTCGATTTTTCTATATAACTTATTCATATATTTTGTGTAGAATTTGCTCGACTAAAATTTTCTAAGTTTTTTCATTCTATTTTTCTTTTCTTCTCATCAAGGAAATCAAACGTAAAAACTTATAAAATTTGAGCCGAGGAAATTCTATAAAAAATATATCTCAATAGAATAAGTTATACAGAAAAATTGAATTCTATTGACTTTTTTTACTGAATATTTTCTATAGAACATTTTAACAGAATCAGCAAAAAACTAATAGAACAGTTTAATAGAAATTCAATAGAATTTTCTAACGAATTCGATGAGTTTTTCTATTAAATTTTTTCGTCCGTGTATTCAAATAAAATTTATATAATTCAAATAAACAATTTTTCTGTGCCCATCAGTAATTCTTAAGGACATGACACTGATTTTTAGGAATTAATTCCTAATTATTGGTGACAAGAGGCACTGATTAGTATAATCCTTATCATCAATTATTTCCATCAGTGAAATGTGGTGGTAGATTATCGAACAGTACAGATAGATTCCTGCGAATCAGTGATACTTCCGTGAAAATTAGTGACAATGTCACTGAAAATTTCTGATAATAGTACTAAAAATTGCAAACGAAATTTTCGCCTTCCACAATTTTGCATGCGTTGAATTTCAGAATCGCAAGTCTTTAAAATTGGGCATAAATTCTTGAAAATTCAGAATTGATCACTGAAAATCAGCGAGATATCCCTCCAAATCAAAATTTTATTTTCTCTATGAACAATCATAACGATGACTGAATTAAAAATTACGCGTTTGTCTCGCCTTGTCATGCACTAATCTAAACACAGCATTCATCATAGTGAAATTCATTATTACAATTTTCGTAAAAAAAACTTAGTTCTAACTATTCAATCTCATCGTTATCAATATCTGAATTAATTGATATTTTTTCGGATAGATAGTTTGTATCCATCAGAGCTCCTAGTGGATATATGCGTATGCAATTGAATTTCATTAAGTTTCATGCTCGACTCCAGATGATACGATCGCACAACATATGCAACGAGAACTTTCAGACTCATCATGCCGTACTTCGATCCTGGACAGCTTCTGAAACCGCTGCTGAAGGGTAGATAGGCGAATGGATGACGGTTCTTTGAATTTTCTGGAGAAAAGCGTTCAGGGATGAACTCCTCGGGGTTATCCCAGTAGCGGGGATCCCTGTGGGTGGCAAAGGGCACCATGTACAGAGAACAACCCTCTGGAACTGTGCAGGTCGCTGGAAGAGTGGGTGAGTCATTATCAAATAATATATTGGGTTACTATTGCGTGAAGTTCCATTTTTCGCGCGGACATGTAACACATTTGATTTTTTGTAAGGGTGCTACTACAATGAAGACACGCCAGGCATATGAAACACTTAGAATTGTCAAAAATAATCGAAAAACACTTGAATAATTGTTTTGCGTACTGACCTTCACTTCTCCCAGTCCGGGGATTGGTATTGACCCTTCCCCGAACTGGCAAAAGTGAAAGTCACTACACGGAGAGAAAAGTCGGGGAAAAATTCTAGTGCTCGGCACCAGAAACGAGGCGCAAACTGCCGAACTACCATATTTTAATCCAAATAAGAATAAAAATTCTAGATCAGCACGGAAATTTTGCTGTAAGTTATTCAATTTTTGAAAAGAAGCACGTGAAAAATTCTAGAGCTGGGACTAGAAAATTTCCCGGTGTGTCAATTTTGTGGGGAATTCCGTAGAAAATTGTGGGAAAAACTTCATTAATTCTTGGTAACATTAGAAATTTTATTGTGCAGTTGGAGAATTTTTCTAGTGCCAGCACTGGAATTTTTGCCATTCTTCCTATCCTCGTACGTGTCCGCGCGACATCGGCAACGTTCGGCTCGCCGAAGTGAGTCGAGCAGCTGCACTCGGGAGTCCCGCCTAGTGCCACCGGGGTTTTCGACTCGTGTGATTGGCAATGCCGTGTGATTTCCAACCTCACGCTCATCGAAAACCCCAGTGGCACTCGACGTGAAATATAATATTTCATCACTTGTACGTAAAGTGGAATTTAGTGTCAATATCTCACTTTTCACTCATTGTAATAAAAAACAGTACATAGTAGGGAAAACAAACACTTACACTACAAAAACCAGGTGCACTGAGAAAAAAAATTCTAATATCTGAAACATATTTTCTTGAGAGAAGTAAATTATTTTCAATGGCTTAAATCTTAGAATGTGTGAACTTCACTGAACTCGAATAAATTTTCATTCATCACTATCGTTCCGCGTTACATCATGAATATTTTACATATTGCAATATTGGAAGTGTATAACGAAAAAATCATGGAAATAATAAAGACTAGAAAATTGACGATTCTTCTACGCGATTTAAGTAAGTTCATTTGCGACAAAATCATACTTGAGTACAAGAAAATTTTAAAGCATGAGGCATTTCTCGGGTTATGTGAATTGAGATGCATGAGAGAATTAAGCAATTGAAGAAAATTTACTTGTCTCAAGAAAATATGTTTCAGATGTTAGAAAAATTTTTTCTCAGTGTATCTCACAACTATCTGAATTTAAGATGTCAGATGGTAAAAAGTCTGAATCTTCAAAAGTGAATGACAATCTGACTAATGTCTGAAAATTTCAACCACCGTTTCCGTCTGAAAATGATGGTAGACGTTTTTTGTGTCTGAAAAATTTCAGGTATTTATTTTCAGATATTTTCTGTGTCTGAAATTCAGTTATTTATGAGCGATTCAAACATTTCACTATTAAGATATCTCACCTGATTCAGACGGCAAAGTCCATTCAAACATTAATTTTTAAGATGTTTCTCATGTCTGAAAAGTAGACTCGTCCACTGCAAAAACTAGGTGTCTGACGATCATCTGAATTTAAGGATTGACGTAAGCATCTTATTTACGAGAGTAAATTTTTTTATGGTCAAATGCCATGAAACTTTGGCAAAACGTTATTTGAACTATTATAAAATGATCGATCTATCGCTCAGCTCTTCGTCATATTGTCAATATCGATTTTTTTGGTTTTTATGTTTTAGTTGATATCGACAATATAACAAAGAGCTAAGCGATAGATCGATCATCTTATAATGGTTCAAATAACGTTTTGCCAAAGTTTTATGGCATTTGACCATAAAAAAATTTACTCTTGTGAAAAACTCCCGCCAAAATTGCTTACGTCAATCCTTAAGATGGCAGATGGCAAAAAACGTCTGAATCTTTAAAAGTGTTTGAAAATCTAACTGATGTCAGAAAATTTCAAACACCGCTTGTGTCTGGAACTGATGTCTGTATCTTAATTTCAGACATCTTGGTGGCTGAAATTGAAATACCTCCATTGATTCAGACACATTTTAATGTCTCAAAAGTGTCCACAAAATCGCCCCAAAAGTGTCTACAAAAGTGTCTGAAATTCAGACATTAGTTTTCGCAGTGTTTACACTCGCTAAACCGTCCCGAAAAATAAAATTTTCAGGTAGGTATTGCAAAATAGTATATTTCGGTACGAGTGCGTGAAAGTGTTTTTTGATTCATGGGGAGTGTCAGAAAAGTTTTTTAACCTCCCACGAGTGTCAAACCCTATTTTTCATCACAATATGTGGAAAGTGGACTTTGGCGCAAGTGGAGCCTGCACCACTTCATAACTTCATGTACAAGTGGTGAATAGAGTTCTTCTTAGGACTACGCATGAGAGCCCAGTGAGACTTCACTTCAGAGAGATCATCTCGGTCGCGAAGCGTGCGTAAAACGATACTTTCACAGCACTGAGAGAAAAATATAATTCTTCTGACTATATTTCATCAACATCGAATTATAGTCAAAAATTCCTCAACAATTTTTCATGGGTTACGGTAACTGTGGCCAGAGAACTAATTACTACAATGGAATGTAGTCATTGCAACTATTTAATAGTTCTCACGATAGATTTGTCGTGGTTACTTTTGAACTTTGGTTAGTTTAACTGCATTTTGACTTGTAAAAATTACGCTTGTGAAGTTACTATAATGTTATGTGCCGCATACAAAAAAAATCGTATCGTTCACCAAAATGCCTCAACTATTTTCTTATTGTAAATCGAACTTCAGATTTTTCTCTCAGTGAGTGAAGACACGTTCAACTCTCGTGCGCAGCCTTACTTTTTCTGCTCACACTAAAAATTAACTTGAATGAATAAAATGGATTACTGAGTTCTATTGGTTCTGTGGATATTCGAGGAAGTAGAGGACCCACGGGGAACAATCTGATAGTCTCTCGAACTATCATGTCGATGTAAATTAATTGAGGAATTGTCTCCGTGGTTATTTCCTCATCTCCTACTACCTCTCTAACTTCAGCTCTGGCTTTCTCCTATAAGAATATGAATATAGTTGAGATCGGTAGTTAATTAATTCAGTAATTTGGTGGACGAAATAAATTGAAGCTATGCCATACTTGAACCTCAGGATGTATTGCAAGCATTAATGTTGCGAAACACAAGAGTCCTCCTATTGTATCATTCAACTAGAAATAAAAAATATCATTGAGAGAATGGATCGTACAGCCATTGGGGCAATTTGGTATTTGATATTTGATGAAGGGAGACCAAGATGAAAGTTGAAAATCCTCGGTTGATGAAAATAGCCATATCGGATGAAATCTGTGTTGCAAGGAGCATTTCACAGCCAAAACCACGAAATAGTATATTTCATCACTTGTGCGTAAAGTGAAATTTTACGCACGCTCCGCGTGTGCAAGTCCCGCTCTCCACACATTCTGATAAAAGAGGGGTTTGATACTCGTGGGAAAATGGTTTTTTGACCCTTGGGAGAGGAGCACTCGCCTTCGGTATCAAGGCGAAGACTTGACAAGAGTCAAGAGGGTCTATAATTCTTTATTTGACATTGTTCTAAATCTATTTGATATTACAAGGAGGGGAAACGGAGGGGACTTTTGGGTCCCTGTGGACCCTCGGGGCCTTTAGGGGCGTAAGAGCCATAAAGGTCTCAGGAGCCAGCTAGGTTACAAGGGTAAAGATAGTCCAAATCCCTTATTTGACATTGTTATAAGACTTTTTGATGTTACGAGGAGGGGTAACCGAAGGGACCTTTGGGATCTTGTGGACCCTTGAGGCCTTAAGGGTCTCAGGGGCCAGCTAGGTTACAAGGTTCGAGGCGGTCACAAGCGAAGCTTTATGCACACTCGCGAACTTTACACACGCCGTATGGAAAACAACCCCTTTACGCACACCAAACCGTTTCGAAAATTGCACTTTTGAGGTAGGTATCACAAAAAAGTGCTTTTTGACCCGTGGGAGGTGTGTAGCGCTCGCCGAAGGCGAGTGCTACCCTCCCAGTGATCAAAGAACACTTTTCCCACGAGTATCGAACACTATTCTTCTCCACGATGTGTGGAAAGTGAAATAAAATGACGTAAAATTTCGCTTTACGCACAAGTGATGAAAACGTCATTGTCCCCTTACGTACGGTTGAGAATGGTTTGGTTCCCAAAGGTTTCTTACTGTTTAAGCACCTCATGTTATATCAAGAGTGACTCGATACCTTTGTTCATCAACTAAAGACTTTCAAGTTTCATTTTGATCCCTCCTTAACTTAGAACATACCCCAACAAAAGTTGTAATGATCTCGTCCCGAAGTTCTTGTTCAGACCATGCACCTGTTTTCATCACGTGGTCAATGAGAGAGTCCATTAGCGGGCTCATAACTTTTTCGTGTGATGCTTTGTATTCACTCCTTTTTGTCTTAATCATCTAGAAAGAATAAAATGCGAATTAGGCGGTTTACGATTGATTCTTCTAATATCATTTACATTGTTGACGAATGCATGCGCCTGGTCGCTTATTTCGTAGAAACTCCTTCCTTGTTGGGTGAGTTTGAAGATGAAACTTGGGAATAGCCAAGGCCTCGCTATCCTGTTTATGAAAATGCCCAGGGCTCTACGGAAGATTTGTCGATTAATTTATTGATTCTATGCTTGGAGTAAGATGAGGTAAAATGGTATTCTTTACAAATGTAAATATTTGCAAACGATATGCGAACAGACGAGAGAGAAAATTTATTTTACAGGTCTGGCAAAAATTATCCTTCTCCACTACAGAAGAAGTCTGACGTATTGCGTAATTATTCACATGCACTGGCGTAATTTTTATGAAATTAGACATAAATTTTGCAATCTTAAGAGTAATTGATCCGATGTTTAGTAAATTTTTCAAAGCAAGCGGAGAAGAATTCACCGTTCGTTTCGTATTTTGTATCGATATAGAGTCGAAAAACCCCAGAACTGAATTCGGCTCTACGAATACTTGATTTTTGTTTGGTATTTTTTCCCCAACTATTTCTTCCGTGGAGAAGAAAATTTAACGGAAAATAATATCCTTTTATTCGACTCTGTCGATGCACAGTATAAAGTACCGAAACCATGTCTAAAAGAGTTGAAATTTATTGAAAAGAACCTCCATTTGTCCCGGTTATGATTTATTATTTAGCCATTTTTTCATTGAACTTCAACTTACTGATCTGCTTTCTCCACAAAAGGATTGTGATCTTTAATTTCAGTGTTTTCAACTATGCCCATTAACGTCTCTGGAAAAATGCACAGACTATAATGTTCATTTTCGATCATTCTGTGTTAGCTACTTACCGAATGCTAGATGGCCAATACAACGTTTGACATCCTCCTCAACATCGAATTCCCCATTATCGACTTTCTTTTCCAACCTTGCAACAAACATATGGGAGTAATGATTGAACAGCTCGACGTACTTATCCATTACTGAGCCATGATTCAATATGGATAGCAATAGTTTCTTGTGAGATCGATATACAGCACCTAAGAGAAGAATAAAAGTACGTACACCGAAAAAAATTATTTTCCACACATTGTGATGAAAAATAGAGTCTCAACACTCGCCTCCTGTGAACGCTACACACCTCCCACGGGTCAAAAATAGTATATTTCTAAACTAGGGAGATAAAATAAACAAGTCGGCCCACGTGACGAATTAGAATTGGTTTTACTTCCCGTGGTTAGAACCGTATTTTTCGCCTCGGCGTAGGCGTAAAGTCCACTTTGTACACTGATAGAACGGATTAGTTATTGTTAACGAATGGATTTTGGTTGGAGGTTAGGGTCTATTCGGTCCCACCAAATGTTCATTCGTTAATAGTTAACGAATGTATATTTGAGGAGCCTTGTTTGACTTGACTTTCGCCATTCAAGTGAACCATTCGTTAACTATTAACGAATATTCATTTGGTCATATTCAACTCTACCATTCGTTAATAGTTAACGAATCTCGTTTGGAATAAATGAATCATTCTATCAGTGTGTGTACTTTACGCCTGGACTGGACATTTTTTGGATTTACCGTCGAGCACTAAAATTCGTAAACAGAATATATAGAATGCAATTTCAGGCTGTTCACGAACTTTAGTGCTCGACTGTAGATTGTTAGAAAAAATTGAAATTTCATGAACAGTTGACTAATATTTTCGGGAGGATGACATTGAATGCGAGTTAAGGAGGAAAATCATGAAATTTCAGATTTCACTGAAAATTTAATGAATGTATAAGTTTTGAAGAGTATTGTGATGAGAATTCCTTAACCTAATTGAATTTCAATGAAATCATGAATATTCAGTGCCGAATGACGATGAATTTCCAATTAACTGAAAATTCAAGAATATTCTTGCTGAAATTCTTCTGATTTCTGATAATTTTTAGGAAATAATTGAACTGAAATTTACAGTTCTCATTTATTTGTCCATGAAATTCTGAATTTTCAATGACTAAATTCCTTGAAATTTCAGTGAAACTGAAATGTGATAAAAATTTCCAAAAAGTTTACCGGAAATTTCAGCTAAAATTTTTTTTAACTGTATGCAATTTAAGCTAATGAAGTTTACTTGCAATAGGTCATTTTTCGACTTAATTCAGTCCTACTCGGATCGAGTGCAGACTCCGGATTGAATGGAAAAAACTTTTTTTTGGGCGTATCAAAGACCTTTAGATTTTTTTCATGAATAATGTAGTCACCTTCTGTATTGATCAGACCATACTCCACAATTGGTTTCATCAGTTGATAAACAGGGTCTTTATTTGTGCTCTTCATGGATGAAAGTATGATCTAAAATAACGGAAAAATATTCATTGATCTTTAAATCCCTTGACTGAATTATTGTCTCATGAAAAATTGAAAACCTCAAAGTCTCGAGGATCTGTCACTATCACTTTGAGAACAGGTCCCAGCCAAAATCGGAATAATGGTGTATTCAAGTCACGGCTGATTTTTGCGAATATCAATGAAGCCTCTGGAATGATTCATAAAGTTCATAAAAATACTCATCATCTAGTCAAAACTAATCTAATACATTCCACTCTTATGAGGGACTCATTGTCTTGAATAATTACTATCGCTCTCCCATAATTCCAAAGCATTCCCGAGAATAGGCAGCGTCGGTGGACCGGGCAGTGTTTTTGCGAACTCTATCAATTTTGCTCTTCGTTGCAGATAATCCCGAATATCACTCCACCATTTCAATCCACATAAAAAGAGGACAGTCGATACAAGGAATCCTAGGATAGGTCAAACGAATGGTAAAATAAGTCAATTAATATGAAGTGTTTGCAATAGAAATGCGTTGGGAGGACCGATACACTGAGAGAAAAAACAAACAAGTTCTCAAACAGGTCTTGCGCCACTGTTAAACATTTTCCACTGACATTTCCGGTAAGAGTCTTGGAAATTTCTAAGATATCTCTACTATTTCCACTGAAATTTCAAGGATTTTTTAAATTGTAAATTCATAATTTCATGGAGAAATCTGTGGAAAGTGTAAATTTCAGTTTTATTATTCTAAAAATTAATGAAAAATGAGGAAAATTCAAAGAAATCTCTCCTTGAATTCCAGATCCCTTTGAATTTTCAGGGAGTTCCTATCAAATTCGAGGAATTCTGAGAATTTTAAACGAATTCCCTGAAAATTCAAAGGAATTCGGCTGTGAATATTTATTTTCAATTGAAAATTCATGTCAATTGCAGATTTTCCGTCTTCCTGTACTAAAAAATTGGGACTTTACTTGAATTTTCAGAGAAACTTGAAATTCAGTGGACTTTTTCCCTTTAAATGGAATTCAAGGTTTTTTTCCGGAAAATTCAGTCAATTTTTTGTAATTGTGTTGCGCCAAAATAATCGCTAATTGAAAATTACCAAAATAGGAATTGTTTGATTAGAATTAGAAAGTCTAAAACATGAATAATTGCTCTGCTTTCAATAACAACGAAATATTTAGCTCAAGAAGCGGTTCCTTCACACGAAACGGTGTCTATTCAGGATGAAAATATCTCTTATAGAGGGAAGCTTATCAAGAAACATTTTGTGTCCAAGTTGCAAAATTACTATCATGTCCTCATTATAACTTCATTCAAGGATTCATTTCGTGTCTATGATTATTGAATAGCCGGAACGGAAAACTATTATTCCTTGTTTCGTATAAAACGAACTTTTTTCGGGAACAGAAAACGTATGGCACTATCGAATACGAAATAGTCCTAGAAATGACATTTCTTGCTTGCACAGACAATACAAATTTTGTGAAACTGTTAAATCTATTTTTGCAAAAAAAAATTCCACCTCAGGAGAGTCTTCAAATGGTCAACACTAGATTTTATTCTTTTGGCAATTTTCAATTAGCAATTTTTTTGTTTCAAACAAGACTTGTTTAAGAAAATTGTTTTGTTTTTCTAAATGGAGAATTTATCCTATAGAATTTCAATAGAATTATCTAGAAGATTCGCGAAAAATCCGTATTTATTTATGTTCTTGTTCACTTTTCTGTTATCAGTTAATTCAGGATGTGGATCATGGGATAGAAAAATCTAAACTTACCGAATAACTGATAAAAATGGGGCACAAATCCAAACGTTTCATTGACAAAACCCATTTCCTTCCTTGAACTATTCGTCCCAAGCGCAATAATCTAGCTCTCCACAATAACACGGACAGTAGCACCGTTGATTCTGAACTGATACCTCTTTTCAGAGGAATGCATCTTTTGACGAGGTCCCAAAACAGGATTTTTGGTGGTTTTAAAAGAACGGATCCTCAGTTCCTCATGAGGTAATCCAAAAATTGTCGAATTGATTTATTGCCGCCATCCAACCCATTTGCATTTCACATTACCAACAGATAAAGTAATTTTTTTGCTCAAAATTACTCAAAATTCAGACCGTTCAACACGCAACGTCAGACCGCGGATATCTAATTTATAGTAAATTGATAACGAAGAGCCATGTGAGGAGCTCCGAAAGGAGAATGTCTTTCTTTTTCGCATCTAAAAGATTCAGACACCTTCATCATTCGGGCCGATAAGAGCATATAAATCAACAACTTTCGTAATCCAGTATTATTCATTTTATTTATTCGATTCATGTCCAGTATTTAGAGATCACCGTAAGTCCAGTCATTTTCTGGATATTTCGGCTCACACAAAACTCATAAACTTAAACTAATGGCAATTGGCCTAGAATTTTCCTATTTACAACAGTTAGAAATCAATTTTTTTAAGCGTAACACGGTAGCCGTCGACTGACCTCGTGGAAATATGGGTATGTATCGGCATTGTATCTAATTTCATCGACGTCGACATGTTAAAACTCCTGACAATGTGAGCTATGATAATTTTGACGCACACGATGCCATATTTAGGACCCGGGCAAATTCTGGGACCAGCGCTGTAGGGAACGTAGGCGAAGGGATGACGATTCTTTGAATTTTCAGGGGTGAAGCGCTCAGGGATGAATTTCTCAGGGTCCTTCCAATACTTTGGATCTCTGTGGGTCGCATAAGGTAGCATGAATATAGAACTGCCCTTCGGAACTGTGCACGTTGCTGAAAAAAAAACATGAAGTCGAGATTTCTCTTGTCGAGATTTTGATAAATATTTGTTCTTTAGTTCAACCCGTCAGCACTCGTGTCATTTCACATGTAACGTCCTACACGGAGACAAATTACAAAAATTCCATAAAAATTACCAGAAAAAAAACGTAAAAATTACGTTTCGAAACGTAATCCGCGAACGAAGTAAAGTCAAGAAAAAGTGTGAGTCGGAACTGAAATTGTACGAATCGTCACGTAAATTCTACTATTTGGTCCGTAAAAATTAATTACCCGTCTGATGACTCATCGCTGCGGGGACAACAAGTCGTTCCGTAATTTTTCCCCAACGATCGAGAAATTTTACGGAACAGAACGTAGAAATAACTCACCAGCTTCATAAAAATTGTTGAATGTTCAAGAATTTTTTATTTCGGAGGGATAATAAGGCGGCAGGTTCCTCTAAGATTTTACTTCTTCGGGAAAGATTACGTGACAATTTCGTACTTTGTTCGGTGATGAACCCGAAAATTCACTGAACGTTTCAGATTTCTTCTCTCCCACTCCTATAAAAATTGCCGGAAAACAATTCCCTGTTGCGGATTACGTGAATTGTTCCGTAATTTTTACTGAATATTTCCCCTTTTTAGACGCACGTGAAACACATCCTATTTTTTGTAATACCCGTAATACCCGTGCGGAAAAAACCGCTTTATGCACACTACTAGGCAATCATGCGCGCTGTCGCGCGTGACCACCTTCAAGTGAGCGCTGTAACGCACACTAACATCCTCGTAGTCATGGAAATCATTGATTGATCTATCAACCAATCGCAAGGCGAATAAAAAGTTAACAATCAAAACAATCATTCATTGTCAATCAACTTTATGAAAAAGGAAACCGTTTGGAAAAGTGCACTTTTGAGGCAGGTATCACAAAATAGTATATTTCGATACAAGTGCGACGGGGTGGTAACGAGTGTGAAGTTGGCTCGGCTTCGCCTCGGGCTGCCAATCACACGAATTAAAACACTCCGTCGCACGTGTATCCGAACTGTATTTTTTATTAGTGATGTTACGCTTAGCGAATGCCGAACTGTGCCATTTTTCGTTTACTAGTAAACGAAAAGTCTTTTCGTTCACAAGTTTCGACTCTTCGTTTATTACTAGTAAACGCAAAGCCACTTTTCGACACGGGCTGAACGTAGCGACAGTGACAAAATAGTATATTTTGTTACGAGTGCAGAAAAGAGTTTTTTGGCTCGTGGGAGGTTTATAGCACTAGCCAAAAAACACTTTTCCCACGAATATCGAACCATATTTTTTATCACAATGTGTGGAAAAGGGATGTTTTAGGCCCGCGAAGCGTGCCTAAAAAGTTACCTTTTCGCACAGCGTGATGAAAAAGTGTTTTTTGACGCGCGGGAACTGTGTAACGCTCGCGAAAGTTGAGTGCTACACTCTTAAGGGTCAAAGAGCACTTATTCCACGAGTATCAAACCCTATTTTTCATTACAACTCGGAGTGTGCGTAAAATTTCACTTTATGCACAAGTCATGAAATTGTTCTTTTCTCTATGTAAAATTCAAACCCCAAATACTTACAAAGCTTCATCTCCTCAGTGATTTTGCGTGGTAAAATGGGTCCCACAGGGAACAGTCTTATTGACTCCTTAATAACCATATCAAGGTATTCCAATTTAGTTGTTTCCTCGTCAGTTACATAATCATTCTTGATTGTGCTATTTATCTCCGCTCTGACCTTATCCTTCAAACAATCAACAAGTGAATACCGCGACAAAAAAGTTCGATGCTGAAAAAGTTGTTCACGTACCTGGACTTCTGGATGCATTGCAATCATCAATAGGATCATGCAGCACAATCCCTCCACCGTCTCGAATAGCTGATGAGTAGAAAAATTGTTCATCATTGAAGGTATTTTCTCGTGGAATAATGCAACTTACACCGACAAAAAGTGTGACGATTTCGTATCGTATTTCCTCAACTGTTATGTCATTATTTCTCATCATGTGATCAACCATGTAATCAACTACGGCCAAGTGAGTGCGCTCGTCCGAATGGATGGGTTTGTATTCCTTCTGTCTCTTTTTTATCTCCTGAAAAAATCATCGTGAGGATGATAGTGAATACAGATGTGAATATTCATGATAATTGATATCCTACGTAGTCTATGAATGTGTGGGCGTCGTTCACAATTTTCGCGAACTTTCTTCCACTGTTGGTGAGATAAAATATGAAGTCTGGGTAGAGCCAGGGCCTCATCATTCTGTAGCAAACTATATGCAATCCCCTGAAAATAATTGAGTATTTATTGAATAGGACAGTAATCCAAAGCAATAGGACAGTAGACCAAATCGAATAAAATATGAAGGCTTGGGTAATTGTGCCATTATCTTGCAGGATAACTGCTTTAAAAGGAATTGTCAAAAGATCAGTTTGAGATCGCACGGAGAGAAATGTTCAGTAAAAATTATGGAACCCACAATTCACTCACCGATTACGGAATCGACTCAGAAAATTTAAGTGACGGCATCGTAATTTTTCACAGAAGATTGAGGTAACAATTACGGAACGCTCTGGAAAAATTCCGAACAGTTCCGTAAAATTTCCTACAACCACATTTCGGAATTCCGGAATTACGGAAACGATACGTAATTTTTATTGAATATTTCTCTCCGTGCGAGACATGTTCTTCAAAGAGAGTCTTTCGACGATTACTTTAACATCATCTAATGAAGTGATAATCACACAATTAACAGGACGAGATAATTTAGTAGTTTTACTCTTGAGTCAGTTTTAAGAAGGGACTGGGTTGACCCATTTGACAAGTTCCTGGCATCCCTGTTAGTGTCTCTGGAACAACGAAAAAATCAACTATGCGATCAATCACTCACTTATGAGGATACGTCAGTGAAATTTAAAGGTCTTCACTGGGCTTTGACAACCATTGAACAGTTTGTGATATGTGGCGGAATATGGGAATAACTTGGGATAATCGCGGACCCGATCGATTTTGCCCCGTATAACCACGATAAACTTAATTTTTTTGTTTTTACCTGCGAAATGCTCCTTGCGCCGTAATTTTCATACGATTTCACCTTTTTTTTTAAATGTTCGTTACACTCCAAAAAATAAAATTAAGCATCCATTTTACTTTATTCGCAATAGATTATGAACAAAAGAATTTTGAATTTCATAAATTTGTCGCATCTCTAGAGTTGGACTAAAAATTCATTGTTTTATTAGTAATTGAACATGGTAATTATGCCTAGTCTAATTTTTATGAACAAAAAAATTGCAGGTTGAAGTGAAAAGGCGGCTTCAAAAGAAAATTTATGAAATTCAAAATTCATTCATTATTCGCATATTTATTCGGGTCGGGTGGGTCGGTTTACGACACTCGAAATCTGGGTTCGGGACTATGTGTTTCTGTCGGAAAAATATCCGAATTGACTTCTAAAGGTTCGTATTTCACATTTGACGAGAACAAACATGAATAATCCCACACTGATGGTTGGGTACCCCTAAACGATTCGAAAGCTGGTGCCACCACGGTAGCAATTCAGTAGCGCAGTGATAAAACGGTACAAGTCAATTTTGACTATTGACTAGTTTTCAATGAATATCTCGGAATCTAAGGGAGGTAAAATTTTTGTAATTACATTTGTTGTCGCTCTCAATTGGCTCTACCAAAAATGTAAAGACAAAAATTTTGCTATCTCCCTTGGATTCGGAAATATTTCTCAGAAACTCAACTGGGGGGAGATAAGTCGACTTAAACCGTTTTACCACTTCGCTACTGAATTACTTTTCAATTCTCGCATTCTTCGATTTTATATTTACCAAAAGCAACATCTCCAATGCAAAATCCAATGTGATCATGCATATCAAATTCTCCTGTCCCAACTTTTTCTTGCAGACGTTTGACGACTATAGAACCTTCATAGTTGAATATTTCTGCATATCGACTAACAACAATGTTACTGTTTATTATGGGTGTCAACATTTTCTTGTGAGCTCGGTATATTGCACCTGGAAAATAGATCTTCTTCAGGGAAATGAATGACAAACATAATTACGTAAACATGATATGCGTTGGTCGAGGCTATTAGCATAACTAGATTTTTTTATAGTGATTTTCACCTTCTGAATTAATGAGGCCATTGACGACAGCTGGCTGCATCAGTTGGTAGACATCGTCTTTCTTGGTGGCCTTTGAAGACATCATAATGATCTGTCATTCAGAAAGTTCTCAGTAAATTTCCAAATAATATTCTTTTAAAAAATTACGGAAATGGGACATTAACAAACCTCAAGGTCATGGGGATCAGTCACCACAATTTTAAGAGCCGGCCCCAGCCAGAATCTAAACGTACTTGCTTTTATTTCGCGACCGATTCTTGTGAGGGTTAAAACTGTTTCTAGAATTATTCATGAGAAATTAGTTCATGATCTCTATTTTGATTTTAAGGATCTCCAAGTATTTTTTACCGTTTGGTACACGGAGAAAAAAAAAAGTTTTTGAGAAGTACGTTTGTTAACTGTATCAAGAAATTCATGACGCGAAAATTGACAAGAAGAAAATATTTCACATTGACAAATGAAACCTTTCGTCAATAGCTTTTGTACAAGAAAACGACTTCTCGAAGCAAGTCAAGGGGTTTTTAGATTAAAAAATTTCGGATTTGAGACTCAAAAATTATTGAATAAATCGATTCAACTACTCTTTGATTCAACTAGGTCTGATAAATCACTTTCTTGTTACAAATCTATTGTCCTCATCTTTGGGACAAGTACAAAAACTCTTGACGAAAGTTTTTTCCTTCTCACTGTAAGATATTTTCTTCTTATCAATTTCTGGACCATGATGTTCTTGATACAAGTAAAGGCGTACTTTTTTCTCACCATACATTAACTTTATGTTAAGTCAATTGCGTGAGAAGAATTTAAAAAAATTATGAATATTCAGCGTCATTAAAATTACATATTCCATAGAATTATTATCTTTTTAAACATTCGTTGTTTGTAAATAAATAATTGGAATTATTTAAACTCTCGAAAACCTAATATTTTTAGGCATGAAATCGATTTCTGATCAAATTGTGAATATGAATAAATCTGTTATGATTCAGACCAACTGATTTTTACAGTGGAAAATTGTTTTTTTATAAAATATTTACAGAAAGCGCTCGCAATGTTGAAAAATTGCAGTTCTAAATTATTACATGAATCTTTCTCCAAAAGTAAAATTGCTAATTTTTTTCAGATTTTCAAAATGTTTTCTAATGCTTCAACATCCAGATTCAAATTCAGACCTGAAAATTTTGAATAATAAAATCATTGTAAAATGTCCGGAAACTTATGGTCAAATGGGGCTCAAATGAAAGCTCTCATTCGACTACAAAAGTAGAAAAGCATTTCACTCGAGAAAATGTAGTCAAAGTACTTGAATAATCTCAAGAAGATACCAGTGGAACATTTGCAACTGAACAGATTTAACAAGCTGATATATTTTGGGATATCTATAGTTGAATATAATTAATCTTTAAACATGTCAGATGTAATAAAAATCCGTAGAATGAAAGATTTTCAGCATTTCGATCATATTTAAACAAATAATTTCATCGAATCAAAGTTTGAACTATTCCTCAATGAAGCTGAAACGGAGAGTCAAATAATCATACACGGAGTGAAATTTTCTAGAAAAATTCTAGTACGAGTACTGGAAAAAATCACAATCCACCGGCTGTGAAAAATTCTAGTGCTGTTAAGGTAAAATTTCTTGGTATTTCCGGTAAAATTTCAGGGGATTTCTGTGAAATTTTCACAGCAATACGGGGAAAAATTCACGTTTTCCCCAATAAAATTTCTAGTGCCGGCACTGGAATTTTTTCCTGGCCGTCACTTTGCGCCTCTTTTCCCGTGCTACCACACTGAGAGAAAAATATGATCCTTATGATTATATTCCATCATCATCGAATTATAGTCAAAAAGTCCTCAACAATTTTTCATGAGTTACGGTAACTATGGCCGGAGAAGTAATTACTACAATGGAATGTAGTCATTGCAACTATTTTATAGTTCTACTCACGATAGATTTGTCGTGCATTTTGATTTGCAAAAATTACGCTTGTGAAGTTACTATAATGTTATGTGCCGCATACAAAAAAAATCGTATCGTTCACCAAAACTGCCTCAACTATTTTCTTATTGTAAATCAAACTTCAGATTTTTCTCTCAGTGCGCTAGATCTTTTCTAAAAAATTTCTCTCCGTGAATGTACAAATGTTCTTCAAGAACACAAGAGTTTCTACGTTATAAATTATACTTAAAAACATTTCTACACAGCTGGATTCGCCAAAGGCAAATCTTCTGCTGTCGAATCTTTCGCTCGTTTCAGCTTCTTTATTCCTCACTGTTCGCCCCACAAGGATCCTAAAATGTATGCTCCACTTGGTCTTCCGAAATAACTTTCCAAAATAACGATTTTCAATTACTATCAGTTTCCCATAATGTTAATGCATTCCCAAAAAACGGAACTGTCCGTGGACCCGGTAGTGTTTTTGCAAATTCGATGAACATTGACCTCTGCCGCAAGTAATTTCTCACAGGGTTCCACCATCGTAAAGTGAATAGAATAGTCACGATTCCAACGAGGAATGCTGCAACGATCAAAACATTATGGAATAAGACCATTAGTAAAATAATGAGACCATTAGTGAGCAAAAATAATCAAATATTTCAACTCACCGAATGCAGGAGAAATAGATGAGAGCGCCGTCATTTTTGGAATGAAACTCATGGTTGATGATTCGTGAAGAGTTATTACAACAGTCATTACACGTCTATTGCTAAATTATCTTAGAATACATTCATTAAGTTATGAATGAAGTTTTTCATACCACTAGAGACGATTCAAAAATAACTAATGGCATGTTTCCCGGGGATTTATAGTTTGATCAGTAAAACGATGTGAAAGAGGTGGAAGCATTCATTACGATCCCATTCATAAATCTCAAAAACATCTTACTCATGCAATCTGAGAAGAGGTACTGCTCTATATGAAAAAATTGATATTTGTCATGCAAAAACCGATTGCAGATAGGTGAATAATGTTGTCAGATACTCCTCTTGAATTATTTATGAATTATTCATTGATGTGGCCTGATGTCCACACGTGCAATATGTAGGAGTCAAATTTGGTTCTGCACTGATAGAAATTTTTCTAAATTTCATGGATTATTTTTCTCACTCGGATTTCAGCCAATCAGAGCGCAGCATTTGAAGCTGTCAAACAGTTTTATTTCGGAAATTTCTAAAAAATTTCCGACGGAAATTCACTAGTAGCTTTTCAAATGTTTCTCATCTTTCAACGCATTTCACGTTTAATATTCTGTGTGACAGATAAACAAAAAAGTGGGTTGTAAATGTATGGCTGTATAAATGTATCCGGATGCTGTTCACTGCACTCTGCTTGGCCGAAATCCGAGTGGAAAAATTATCCGTCAAATACCACTCGTGCTTCAAAATTAATCGGATAGGCATCCACACCAATCGTTCCTAGGAAAAATCCGATAATTTTGAAGCACTAGTGCTATTACTACTGAAAATAATATGGTATTCATTCTTGTGAGAGTGATATCGAATCCGATTTAAGGGAAGAATGGTTATGAAATTTCAAGTTTTAGGTGGGATTCAAGGAAATTCGAGAATATTGAGTGGAAGTGAGACGGAAATTTCAAAACTTAATTGAATTTTCAATGGGACATGAATATTCAGAAACTAAATGACATGAATTTTCAATTTTTTCCTCAACTTTCCTGATTTTTCCCAATTTTCACGGAATAATTGAACTGAAAAATCGACTATTTTATTGATTTTCGAATCAGTCCAACAGAAAATTAATGGAATATTTGATTTTTCAATGACAAGATTTCCTGAAATTTCAGTGGAAATTAAACATGATCAAATTTTCGGGACTTGACGCGCAAAATTTAGAAAAAACCTGTTAACCCTCTACGTATATCTGTAGATCGTACAAAAAAAGATTACCAGAAAAAAAAATTCACTAGAAAAAACAATTCTATTTGATTTCTGTTAAACTTTCTATTAGTTTCTGGCCGATTCTATTGAAATGTTGCAGAGAAAATGATTTACAGAAAGAGTCAATAGAATTCGATTTTTCTATACAACTTATGCTATTGATATATTTTCTACAGAATTTCCTGAATTGAGGAGCGGAAAGAAATACCTAGTATGGCGTAAGCCACATTCGAGATGTGGTCTTTATAAGAATCATTACAATCGTTACATCACCAAATTTCTGGTTAAACAAAATCACGATTATTGGTAACAAATAAGCATTTTTATTTACGTAATGGCAATAATTTATTTTCTGTCTGGAATGATCTATGTGACATGAAATCCCAATTTTCCTTAGTTTCAACTCGTCAGGGTTAACTATCGAGCAGTAGTTCTCAATAATTCTGTCATTTTAGAAAAAGCAAAAGACATCTGATCATTACGATAAGGTGAATCGTCCAGTGTTCGAACTAACGCAATTAGAGAGATAATAATTCTTTCAGTGTAGCTGTGGACGTTCATAACTTTAGACGTCTGATACTGTTTTCAATGGATATTGTCACCCACGTATTTAGTGCTTGCCTCCACGGACAAAAAAATTTAATAGAAAAACCTATCAAATTCTTTAGAAAATTCTATTGAATTGCTATTGAACTGTTCTATTAGTTTTTGGCCGATTCTATTGAAATGTTCAATAGAAAATATTCAGTAGAAAAAGTCAATAGAATTCAATTTTTCTATATAACTTATTCTATTGAGATATTTTCTACAGAATTCCCTCGGCCCAACTTTTCCAAGTTTTTTCGTTTGATTTTCTTGATGAAAAGAAAAGAAAAATAGGATGAAAAAAAGTTGGAAAATTTGAGTCGAGCAAATTCTATAGAAAATATAAAAGAATAAGTTATATAGAAAAATCGAATTCTGTGGACTTTTTCGATTGAATGTTTTCTATTGAACATCTCAATGGAATCAGCCAAAAACTAATAGAAAGTTTAATAGAAATTCAATAGAATTTTCTAACGAATTCGATAGGTTTTTCTATTAAATTTTTTCGTGCGTGTTTAGTATGCGATCAGAGTGTAACGATACGTTTCAAAGAAATGTTTTTGGTTTGCACTTGTTCCAGTGATTCATACCCAAAAAGGTTCTAATATTTTTCCAAATAGTTTAGAATCTATATTGAAAATGTAATTTGGCTCGCTGAGAAGACTAGACGAAGGAAGAAAATGAGTAAAAAATTTTCATACAGACTATTTTGGGAATATCTTGAGAATGGATAGGTTTGAAAGAACTGATAAACCTCAGATTAAGAAATCCTAATTTTATTTTTCAAAATTACCAACAATTATTATCCATGGAAAGATCCTCAATCACTTCCACCGATTGATCACTTCACAGATGTTTATTCACAAAATCAATTCACTGCCTTTAGAGCAATTTTATAACCATCAACACTCCTTGCCGAAATATGATTATGCACTCGTAATGTTTCGTGTTTCATTGTTGTACTCAAGTGATAATTCTTCAGGACATGTGCCAGGACTACCTTGATGCAGACTATGCCAAATTTCGAGCCAGGGCAGCTTCTCATACCTCCACTGAAGGGGATGTATGCATAGGCATGACGGTCCTTTGAATTTTCTGGGGTGAATCGCTCGGGGATGAATTTCTTCGGTTTGTCCCAGAATTCTGGATCCATGTGGGTTGCGTAAGGAAGAAGGAATAGAGATGTGCCCTTCGGTGCGGTGCAGGAACCTAGAGCAAAAGTAACTCTATTTTCTCAACCCATATCGATCGCATATTTTGAGGGCTTTTTGGGAATATCTCATATATCTAAGGACTTAAAAATGGCGAAGTATCGTTATGTCAATTAACCCCTCACGGACGGAGCCCTTCTGTTACCAAGCGCAGTGTGTCCACTGATAGACCGATTCGTTTATTCCAAATAAGATTCGTTAGCTGTTAGCGAATGGTAGAGTTGAATATGACCAAATGAATATTCGTTAATATTTCACGCACCAAAAAATTTAATAGAAAAACCTATCGAATTCGTCAGAAAATTCTATTGAATTTCTATTAAACTTTCTATTAGTTTTTGGCTGATTCTATTGACATGCTCAGTAGAAAAAATTCAATAGAAAAAGTTAACAGAATTCGATTTTTCTATGTAACTCATTCTTTTCATATATTTTTTATAGAATTTCATCGGCGCAAATTTTCATTCAAGTTTTTTTCATTCTATTTTAGAGAAATTAGAGAAATTTTATCCTGATACTGATACTGTACCGGTAGGGTAAAATTTACCAACTGTTCTAGAATTTTCGTTGTTATCTACCTAAAAATTATTGGACTGGAAGGGTAAAATTTATTATGCGTCAGGATAAAAGTTCTCTAACGTTGAATAAAATTTAATCATCATATATTAATTTTTATTAAATTTCGGGATAGAAATGAAGAAACGATGACTCATGATACACTTTTATAGAACGGTAGGATAATTATTATCAAAAATTTCTCTCTGTGCAGTAGCGACTTATTTCCCAGTTGAGTTTGCGAAGAATATTTCCGAATCTAATAGAAATAGCGAAATTTTCGTAATTACATTTGTTGCAGCTCTCAATAGGCTCTATAAAAAAGGTTGTAACAAAAATTTTGCTATCTCCCTTAGATTCCCAGATATTCATTGAAAACCGGCCAATAGTCAAAATTGACTTGTACCGTTTTACCACTTCGCTACTGAATTCATGAAATTCTCCTCACTATTTCAGAACACATTAACAGTAAATTGACGTATTTGAAGAGAATTACTTAGTTTCAAATCGGCGTTGACCTTCCGGGGCATCAACGGTGCGACTGGAAAAAGTCTAATGGTCTCTCTAATGATCATATCCAGATATTTCAAATTTGCTATTTCGGTATCGGAAATGTCATCACCCGACATTACATTTGTAACCTCTTCTCTCGCTTTTTCCTGGAAAAAGGTGGTTATTAAAAATAATTCCCGGTGTCTGTTATTCACAAAAAGTAGTTGACTGTACACTGACTTGAACTTCCGGATGCATCGCCATCATCAGTAACGCAAAACAGGCTATTCCCGTCATCGTCTCGTACGACTGGAGAATAAGTACATTTTAATCATTGAGTTATAGAAATGCAAAGACTCTCAGTGATAGAGATGCAAGACCATCATTTTTGAGATCGTGTCATATGACCAAAAATGAAGATGTTGTGACGGTCATTTCACGCATTTCTATTTCTACCCAGAGATAACAATGATAAGTTGAAGAAATGAATGCATAAATAACATACGGCGACAAAAATAGTAATCATTTCGTAGCGAAGTTCCTCGTTCGTCCAGTCTTTATTTTTCATTTTGTGGTCTATCAGAAAATCCAAGAGCGAGAGTCTCGCTGTTTCTTCTGGACTTCGGCTCTTGTAATGTTGTTGTTTATCAGCAATCATCTGAAGGAATTGAATGACTGTAAGAGAGACCGGGGCAAAATGAGACTGTGAAATACACGCAAAAGCAGTCTCATTTGGCCTCGGTCTCCCCTATTAATAATTGAAAGATTCAATATATTGTATACGGATCATTTTTTTGGCAACACTTGCGAGTCTTCTCTGCACCTACATTGTCCAAATAGTTATGAGCTTCTTTTACAATCTTGAAATACTCCCTCCCCCGTTGAGTCAGGCGAAACAATATATTTGGGGCCAACCAGGGTCTCATCATTCTATAATATACTGAATGTAAACACCTGCAAACAAAATCTAGATTGATATGAATTCAAATGTTTCATAAAATAATATAGTTATTTTCAGTGGCAAAGTGATGAACGGCAATAAATTACGATGAGACTGTCTTTAGACTTACTAACCGTCATCATTTGTGGACGTCCGCATGAAAAGGGACCACCCTGTCGATATGGTCTTGTATATGCTCTGATAATATTGATAATATTCCGCACATTTTGAGCCCAAAATGATCTTCATAGGGTCAAAAATGACGTCGTTGGAGAAGATGGAAATAGTATATTTCGTAACGAGTGCAAAAAAGAGTTTTTTGGCGAGTGGGAGGTTTATATCACGAGTCAAAGGTGAGTGATATAATCCCACGAGCTAAAAAACATTTTTTCACGAGTTACGAACAATATTTTTCATCAGAATGTGGCGGAAATTGGACTTTTAGGCACGCGGAGCGTGCCGAAAAGTTCACTTTTCGTCACAGCGTGATGAAATAGTATATTTCAGCACGTGTGGGGCAATTTCGTCTTTAACGTGTGTGGGGTTTACAGCATGAGCCGAAGGCGAGTGATGTAACCACACACGTTAAGGACGAAATTTCCCAACAAGTACTGAACAAAATTTTATGTCACGAAGCCTGAAACCGGCTGAATTAGACACGAGACGCGAAGCGTCGAGTGTGTAATCCAGCCGGTTTCAGGCATGAGTGGCATAAAAATAATTTAACATTGGTGCGAATGAGAGTTGCTGACACAAAAACGTGATTATCTCGAAAACTAGAATCGACAAAGTGGTCCTTTTTCATGTGGACGTCCACATTTGACTACTGACATTATACACGGAGAGAATATAAAATTAAAAAATACTATGTGAACGTTGTAATCGAGGACCATGCCAGAAAAACTTTAAGGACCGGTTGCACTAAGCCCTGTTGACCAAATCAATAGGAATTCGTTGTAGAGTGATATCACTCTACTATCATTGGCAGATAGTGATGATACATCGATTTTGGCAAATAGTGATGATACCACGTTTTTTGGTGAAATACCTTTGATGAACTTTTGATCAAAATTGATCGGCAGATTATTTTAATTTATTCCGATCCGTTACTAAGGATTTCCTTGACTGAGCTTGGTGCAACCGGGCTTTCAATGAGATTTATTTTAGCCGAATTTCTGCAATATACAACTTTATTTTTATCATTTAACATTGTCATTTCTGGCGAAGAAAACAGTATAAAAAACACAAACGAAAAATAATTCTCAAAAATCTTGAAAACGCTCGATTTTTTAAAACCAATTTTTGCTATTGAACAATGAGAAACTTCTCAAATTACTCGAATCGTATGAATCTTTATTGTGTTGAACTGTGATTTTTTTAATGATTTAAAACTCTACTCTCACTAATTTTTTTAATGGACTCCATCATATTTAAATTTTATCACCCGTACTTCTTCATTCAGCACGTCATAGTTTTTTCATTTGTTTTCCGAATTACTATGTTAAACAGTAAATTTTCGAGTGTACCGGGTATCGCCTTGCGTTCGGTTTCTCATATTAAAAATTCCTATGTTCCCACAGTGAAGAATAATTTCATATTCTTTCCGTTTAGTGCAATTTTATTACGTTTGAGTCAGCAAGAGGAAGATACTGGGCTCTCCCAATTGGGCAGTTGCCGGAATTCCAAATAATGATTCTGAAAATAAATGAATGGTAATTGAAAGATTTCGTGCGATCCACGTGGTTGTACACTGAGAGAAAAATCTGAAGTTCAATTTACAATAAGAAAATAGTTGAGGCATTTTGGTGAACGATTCAATTTTTTTTTGTATGCGGCACATAACATTATAGTAACTTCACAAGCGTAATTTTTGCAAATCAAAATGCAGTTAAACTAACCAAAGTTCAAAAGTAACCACGACAAATCTATCGTGAGGAGAACTATAAAATAGTTGCAATGAGTACATTTCATTGTAGTATAATTACTTCTCCGGCCATAGTTACCGTAACCCATGAAAAATTGTTGAGGACTTTTTGACTATAATTCGATGGTGATGGAATATAGTCAGAAGAATTATATTTTTCTCTCAGTGTAATTAGAAGATCGTATTCAAAAAGGAAAGTTTTTTTTGACTGCTAATCGATTCATCAACAGTTATGCGTCGTACAAATCAGATTGACTTATCCGCGTCACCTTGGATCCTCATCTCTTAAAAATCTCATCTAATAAAATTTCATACACAACTCCAATTTCCACTGACTATAAAGTCGTGGGTTGTTAGAGTGAGACTTTTCATACGTTGAAAATCGATTATATAGATCTGAAAACGAATAATTAGTGCAAAAAAAATTTTTTTTATTGTTCGTCTGCCCGAAAACGCTTAAAATGCTAAAAACAGTCCAGGGCCTCCAATTTTTGAGCAACAAAAATTTTTTTTTTTCAAAATTTTTGGAAAAATGTGTGGAACAACAATTACGAGCCAGTTTTTTGGAATTCGACTCCTACACACGCACTTTTTCCCCGATATAGTGTGAAAAAGTACTCAAAATCGAGTTCGCTCCGCGATTACTTGACTTGTTCGCTCATTTTTCTCCAATTTTTTTCTCCGTCTAATATTCTATTTTATCCCAAGGTCCATTTTGCCCCACTTTCCCGCTTCACCATGCTCTCCCCTCTCTATTGAATGGACTCAAAAAAGTGGTTAATTTAAAAATTAATCACTCATGTAAAGACTTTTTTCGAGGGGAGATAATTTGCTGCCACGAAGATGATTTCTTGTAGGTTTGATTATTACCGGGTAAATTATGAAGAATAATCAATGAGCAATATGTCGATACAAACCTGTTCTATGACCCCTCTACTTGGATCATATTAATACATTATTCCTCATAATTTGTTTCGATTAGATAATAGGAAATTTGAAATGCATCGATTTTTTAAAGGAAAAAATTCTGGCATGAGATATATCGTCGGCGATGTTGGACCCAACGATGAATCGAAAAATCGTTCGGTCCGACATTTTCCAAATTTTCTACTTGAATCATTAACATTGATTAATTACCAAAAACAATGTCACCCAAGCAAAAATTGAGATGATCGTGGATATCAAACTCTCCAGTGTCTACCTTCTTCTGCATCAGCTTTACAAGCACACGTGACTAGTGATTAAATATTCCAATATATTTTCCCATCACAGTATTTCCATTTATCTGTGGCATCATCAAATTCTTGTGGGTTCGGTAATATAAAGAGGCTGTGAAAGGAAAACAGGACAGTAGATTTTCGGATTTACTCACATCAAATTTAACAAAAAATTCGTAAATATTCAACTTTGAAAAGAGACATGCATTCATGCGTGGGTCCATAGATGGTACAATGAGAAAAAAAAATTCGATCAGTGTGGCTCATGGCTCGAAAATTCCCAAAAAGAAAATGTCTTAAACTGAAAAAAAAACTTTCGTAAAGAGATTTTGCACTTCTCGCAAAGATGAGGCTAATTTTTTTATGCGAAGAATGTGATTTCTCAAGCCGAGCTTAATTGAGTCAATTAATTCGATAGCTTTTTAGTTTCAAATCCCAAGTATTTCAATGCAAAAAGTGTAACCCGTTTAGAGTGGCGCAGTAAGTCCATTGGTTCATATGCTTAAGGCCAGAGCGATGTAAAATAACGATTGAAAAAAATGGAAAAACCACTTGACTTGATTCGACATGTTCACGCATGAAAAAATTCAATATAAAACCTAGCGAATTCGCTTGAAAATTCTATTGGAATTCTATAGGAATTCTATGGGGTTTCTACAGGACTTCTATTGGAATTCTATTCTAAAATTCTATTTGGCGCCGATTCTATTGGATATTCAATAAGAAACAGGTAATATATTTCGAATTTCTGTTTGAATTTTTCTGTTAGATTTTTTCTATTAGAATTATTGGTCACAAATTTACCAAGTTATTTCCGCTGGATTTTGTTTTGTTTTGCATTGCAGAATCCGAGTGTAAAAAACTTGGAAAATTGATGCCCAAGCATTCTTATAGTTTTCTATAAGAATGCTTTTTTAATTAAAAAGATACGTAATATAAGAATGATTTTTTAATCTCAAGAGAAAAATTCCAACAGAAATTTGAAATCTATTGACTTTTCTTATCGAATATTCAATAGAATCAGCGCAAAAAACAAATAGAATATTTCGATAGAATTCCAATAGAAATCCTGTAGAAACCCCACAGAATTCCTATATAATTCCAACAGAATTTTCTAGCGAATTCGCTAGGTTTTCTATTGAATTTTTTCATACGTGTTGCTTCCCTGTGGTAAACCAATTGATCTCATCTATCGGATCAATACAAAATCTCTTGACGAAAATTTTTTATTCTCGTTAGAAGATATATTTTTATGTTAATTTTCGAGTCATGAGTTTCGTTACAGAACTGAAGACACACTAGTAAAAAAAAGTTTTTTTTTCATCAATGCACTTTTCTCAGCGATGTGAATACCTGGTGCATTAATGAGGCCGTTTATCACAGCCGGCTGCATAAATTTATAAACATCATCCTTGTCCGCAGCCTTTGTGGACATTAATGCGATCTGAAGGACAAAAAGTACAGGTGATAAATCCAATAATAATCAATTTTTTCATTCACAACACTGAAGATCAAGGTCTCACCTCAAGATCTTTGGGATGACGATGATCTTGACGACACTGGGCCCCAACCAAAATTGGTAGAGTCTAGAGTGTATCTGCTGGCCAATTCTCGTGAGAGTATTTACAGTTTCTGGACAAGAATTTTATTCATGGAGAGCCAATTCAGTAGTGACGCGGTAAACCGAGTTAAGTCGATTTTGACTATTAGCCAGTTTTTGCTGAATATCTCGGAATCTAAGAGAGATAGCAAAATTTTTCTCATGACTTTTTTTATAACGCTCTATTGGCTCTACAAAAAAGGTCATGAAAAAAATCTTTCTATCTCTTTTAGATTCCGAGATATTCGTCAAAAACTAGCCAATAGTAAAGATCGACTTAACCCGGTTTACCGCTTCGCTACTGAATTGAGAGATGTGGTCGCGTGTGAAAGAAGATAATAGCCAGTAAAATAGTAGGCAGAGTATTTCATAAATATTTCAAAAGCTATTAGGTTCAAGAGAATATATCAGAACGTTTTTTTGGTAAAGATTTTTTTGCCATTACAGCTTTAATTGTTTTTTCGATGCTGAACGATAATTTTATTGGTGCTACGCAATAATTTTTCCAAGGGTGCAAATTGTGACGCGTTTATTGTGCGAGCACATGAATTGTTCTGGAAAATTTTTCTCAGTTTGGGCTGTTTCAAATTTCTTAATTTAAGGTATATCCGAAGACAATCGCACCCAAAAGTTAGTCCCTATGGAAAAAAATGGGCTGAAGTGTTTGCACGGCGAGAAATGTCCAGCAAAAATTACGGAACTCACAATTCACTCACACGGAGAGAAATATTCAGTAAAAATTACGGTACTCACAATTCACTCACCGATTACGGAATCGATTCAGAAAATTTAAGTGATGGTATCGTAATTTTTTACAGGAGATTCAGATAAAAATTACGGAACGCTCCGAAAAAATTCCGTGACAGTTCCTTAAAATTTCCTACACTCACATTTCGCTCCAGAATTACGAAAAAGATACGTAATTTTTATTGAATATTTCTCTCCGTGCACCGATTACGGAATCGACTCAGAAAATTTAAGTGATGGTATCGTAATTTTTCACAGGAGATTCAGGTAAAAATTACGGAACGCTCTAGAAAAATTGCGTGATGGTTCCGTGAAATTTCCTACAACCACATTTAATTTCGGAATTACGGAAAAGATACGTAAGTTTTATTGAATATTTCAACAAATAACCAATCCCTGTGACTATATGAACGTTTAAAAATTGTTTTTTCTCCCGCAATTATAATTTTTTAATTATAAAACTACTTCATTGACTAAGCAATGATCCCGTCGATAAAATAGTTTCATAGATAAAAATTAATAATTGTAGGAGAAAACTCCATTCTAAAAGTTCATATAGACCAGGGGTTTCTCCCCTCGTGAGAAAAAAATTCTTCTGTTGGAAATGATTCATTTTCTTTTGGAATTTTGGTGAATTATGTTGTTCTAAAATCACTACAATGTGTTACACACTTCCGTTAAAAACGTAAATTTGTCTTTATTTTCTCGATTATCCAGACAAAGGTAATTAACGAAAAATGACGCGCTGCGGCGAAAAATGTTCACAATCTGTAGATTTTCTACTCACTATCAGTTTCCCATAATAACAAGATATTTCCGAAAATCGGTAGTCGCGCAGGTCCAGGTAAAGTCATAGCGAATTCCACAATTCTTGATTTCTCTCTCCAAAATTCGTGGCTCCACCATCGTAATCCCAACAAAATCACAATAGTGGTGATTAGAACACCTGAAGCAATGATGGGCTATCAAAACTATCACGCAATATATATATTATCATTGATTTCATCTCACCAACTCCAGGAGAAATTGATGGGAGAATCCCAAAACTGTTGATTGACGTCATTTTTCATGAATATAAACAATCAAAAGATTTGTTATTATTGGAATTATGAAGTACAAAGTCACTTCTTCAGAGAACTACGAAGAACTGGTAGATCAAACCGGTCTAGATCACATTTACTTGAGACAAGAAATTTTTCCTCAATCGCTTAATTCGCATGCACAAAAAAATTTAATAGAAAAACCTAGCGAATTCGCTAGAAAATTCTATTGGAATTCTTTAGAAATGCTGCTGAGATCCTATTAAAAGTCTAGGGAATTCTCATTAAAATTCTGATTGTTTTTGTGCAGATTCTATGAGATATTTGATAGGAAAAAATCAATAAATTTCAATTTTTCAAAATGAATATTTTCTTGGAATTTTTTCTATAAAAATACTTAGGCAGGAACTTTCCAAGTTTTTTCAGCGGAAAAAAACTTAGAACATCCGTGCCCAATAATTTTAATAAAAAACATCTCAAGAGAAAAATTCAAACAGAAAAATCGAAATTTATTGACTTTTTTTAATCAAATATCTAGCCGAATCTGCACAAAAAACGAATAGAATTTTCTAGCGAATTCGCTAAGGTTTTTCTATTGAATTTTTTCATACGTGGCGTAGTGGGGGTGAAGGAATTCCCGGAATTCCATTCTTCTACTGTCCTTAAGGTAGAATCTCACTGCAGAATCTCACTGTAGATCACCGGGGGAGGGGTGGGGGGTGAAATGGAAGTCTTATTGTTCTCGAGCCCTGATTCAATCGCTGAGTACGAAATTTTCCAAATTTCAAGTCACTATTTAAGTGTGCATTTGAACATTTTTTGAATATTGATTTTATTTATCAGATTGATTGGTTTTCTTCTCATCACCTGCGGGTGTCAAATAATTTTTATTGGATGTTTTTCTAATTATTGAAATAATATTATAATGCGTTTCGAGTTGGTCAACCTGTCGAGTGTTTTCTCTCTCTCTCAGTTCCATGGTCCAACCCGCACCTTTCCCATGATGGTCACTGACATTCGAATCACGCGCCTGCGCGTGAGGGCATAATTGCCCCGAAACTCATAATTTTCCGAAATATTTGTTCAAATAATTTTCTTATGAAATCTGAAGAAAATCTGAAACTTATACGTGTTCTCAAGAAAGATTTCATTTATCACCCACTAGTTTTTCCTCAATAGTTCATTATTTTTTTGGGTGAAAGGAAATTTCCCTAATTGAGAGTGGGGTAACCTCGGAGCTTGCAGCTGGAGGGGTTCCAGAAACATCAAAATTTCATTATTTTTGACGTGGATACGTCTATGGTTTCAATATGGGGAGTCATTTTGGGACACGATCCTTATGTGCAGCGCCATCTATTGGACTTCTAGAAAATTCTAGACATTTCGAGGTAATTCGAGAAGTTTCTTGAAATTTCGAGGAAATTCAGTGAGTTTCTAGAAAATTCGAGGGAATTCAACGAGTTTCTAGAAAATTCGAGAGAATTCAAGGAGTTTCCAGAAAATTTGAAGGCATGCCAAGAGTTTCCAGGAAATTCGAGAAAGAAGGAAAGAATATGGACGTATCCACGTACAATTACAGCTGTATCGCAGATACAGCCGCCTGCAATTTTTTTTCCTGAAACTGAGATCTGAAGAAAATGTACAAGAAAACGCGGCTGTGTGGCGCACTTGGTAGAAGCATGAGATTCACAACCTCAAGCTCCCAGGTTTGAGCCCCGGCCGGGCCAAAATTCCACACCAATTTTTCATCACAATTTTCCACATAATATTCAACTGAAAATTCAAGACAATTTTCAAACCGAATATTCCACGGAATTTTCAACTGAAAAATCCACTCCACATTCAACATTCCCTGGCTGAAGGCCCTCGGGCGATGGCCGCGTTGGCAAGTTAACCCTTGCAACGAAAAACCGGTGAAATTTGAATTTTTTTGTACAAGAATTTTCAATGATGCAGCATACTTAGAAATTTCTCCCATGAATTTTTCAATTTTTTTTCACTATTTTGACTTTTCAACCGAAACTCCTTAAAAAACTTCATGACCAGTTTTATTTGTCAACTTCCAGTCTCCTTCAAGCATCAAAGCACGTCACAGACGCACTCTACCTCAAAAAGACACGATCCACATTACTATTCATTTAAACAAATCACTCTAAGATGCGAAACGTGCAAAGCCTGTATGTATTTTCCAATTAATTACTAAAGTTTATTCAACCTACGTTTTCTCATGATCTTTCCGTAGACATTTAGAACATCCATGTTACCTAGATATGTAAAGATTATTTGGCTGAATAAACATGTTTGTTATTTTAAAAAAAGCGCAGTGACTAAGTTCGGTGGATCACATGCTCGACGTCCCAGGTTCAATGCTCGGGCGAGGAGAATGGTGAGATCTAATCATCCTATTCTAAAAAGAACATACACTTAAAGTCGATAACTATCGATATCTCGCAAGTCTGTCACGCTTATTCCTCATTGGTTGCAGTCATCTGAGGCGGCAAATTTAATTTATGATTAATTTAATTTTGAGATTTTCAATTATGATTGTTACAATTAACACGCGCGATAGCGCGCGTTCAGTCTCGTTTACCTAAAGTCTTGATCAGATTTCACAGTTTACTCAAAACTGAATCAGAGCAATTTAATAATCATACAAAATATGAACTCAAAACTCTCTCTTCAATCTCTTGAATTTTCGTCAAGAGATTTTGAACTGACCCGAAAGATGAGGGGCAATTGGTTTACAGCAAGAAAGTGACGTCTCGAATGCAGTCAAGTGGTTTTAGCATTTTAAAAAATCACTATGTTGCATCGCTTTGATTCGATTTTGCGTTTACTGCGAAATCTGTTAAACACTTTAAGGATATCTAAGTACTTTGGCTATTTTTTCTCCAGTGCAGTGCTTTTCTACTTTTGTAGTCGAACATCAGAGCTTTCATTTGAGCCCCATTTAACCCTAATTCTCCGGACCATTTACAATGATTTTATGATTTAAACTTTGCAGGTAATATTTGTAATAATCATTAAAAAAACAAATATGACCAACGCAGAAACAGAAAAGTAAAAAATATCGATCATTCATTTACTGTCCTTCATGTTACTCCGCTATCCCATTTTACCCCCTCTCCCCTAGTGAATTCAGTAGCGAAGTGGTAAAACGGTTCAAGTCAATTTTGACTATTGGTCAGTTTTCCATGAATATCTCGGAACCTAAGGGAGATGGCAAAATTTTTGTCATAAACTTTTTTGTAGAGCCAATTCAGATCTAGAACAAATGTAATTACGAAAATTTCGCTATCTCCTTTTGATTAGGAAATATTCCTCAAAAACGTAACTGGGAGATGAGTCGACTTAAACCGTTTTAACACTTCGCTACTGAATTATAACAGTATAATTTTTTTACGACTCCATTATGTAGAAACTCCTCGAAAACTTTTACGGTTCCCCCTGTCCCTCAGTTCTCATGCGCGCGTTTTTATTTCAAAACACCCCCAGTGTCTGTCCACACGTCCACCCCTTCGGATCCCTCGAGTAACTTCGAAGTTTCAAATTCCGCCATTGGAGTCAATACAATAAGAAAATCGGGGATTGGTTAATGAAGTGGTGAAACCTTGAATCGGTAGTTTTGTTCGTGCTAATTATCAAATCACAGTAATAGTTCCGAAAGAAAACATAAGAACAATTAAGGATAGTAATTTTTACCCAAATCGGTACCTTAATTCGAGTAATCATGCTCATCAAAAATTTTTCGTTGGAATTCTCATCAAAACTGCTGGAAAAAGTTCAATAAGTCTAGCAAAAATTTGAATATTCCAAGAGGAAATTCTGAGTGATACAGTGCTAGGGTCATTCCATTTTTTATTAGATTTCTGGTAAAAAAAAAATCCTGGTACTTCATGAGTGGAAGTCGAGGAGCCGTTTTTTCGAGGAATTTTTCTGTGTGGAACGTTTCATCCTGAATGCACTCATTACCCCTCTTATTAATGAGTAGTTGACAAAGCCAATTAATATCTAACAAATAGTCTCATCAACGAGTGGTTTTAACAAAAAATTTCGAAGCAAAAACAAAAATTTTCCGGACATTATCCCCTTGTGTTAGGCATTTTCCAGATATTTGAATAAAGACTAATCTCAAACTAGATCACTCCACTAATTAATCGACTTCCCAGTGAAAGGATAAAAATCGCAATTGATAAAATGTGATTCAATGAGTAAAACTCCGTTCCAACATACGAAAGACATTGAGATTCAAATAAAATGATATAAAAATTGACATTTAATTGCTTAATAAAGTGGTGAAATCTTGAATCGATATTTCTGTTTCTGTTAATTACCAAATTACACTAGTAATTCCAGAAGAAAACATGAGAACAATTAAGGATAGTAATTTTTACTCAAATCGACCCCTCAATTTGAGTAATCGGGCTACACACGTGTTGTAGGAATTCTCACCAAAATTGCAGTAAAACAATTCAATAAGCATGAGAAAGATTCGAATATTTCAAGAGCAAATTTAGCAGAAAACTTTATAATTTGTACTACAGAGTTATCGCATTTTTTATTAGATTTCTGGTAGAAAAAAATTCCTGATAGTTCAATACACTTTATAAGTGGAAATTGAGGAGCAATTTTTTCGGAGAGTTTTTCTCTGTGTGGTACATTTTATCCTTAACCCACTCATTACCCCTATTAATGACGCTTTTTTAACGAACAAAGCTAATTAATATATGTCGAATGGTCTCATTAAAGGGTTTTAACAAAAAATGTCGAAACAAAAGCAAAAATTCTCCAGACATTATCCCCTTGTGTCCTGCATTTTCCAGATATTTGACTAAATACTAATCTCAAACTATTCAACCACTCCACTAATTAATCGACTTCCCCATGAAAGGATAAAAATCGCAATTGAAAAAGTGACTCAATGAGTAAATTCCCGTTCCACCATACGAAAGACATTGAGGTTCAAATAAAATGCTACCAAATTGACAGCGTCCACTAAAATGGCGAGATTTATTGCAACTATTAAAGCAATAATAACTCGTCTAGTTTTTGCATCCCACGGGTTCATCGCAATTTGGCAAGTGACGACATTCAAGAAGAATCCACTCTACTGGTACTTGAGCTGTCCAATTCTCCTGCTCTTCTTCGAGGGACTCTTTACCCTAACGATAAAGGAAAATCAAGAGTGGAAATGGTGAGGAAAATTTCATCACTAAAATTCCTTCGCATATTCTTTCTGGAGACCCCAATAAGGCGACTTTCTGGGTCGCATGTGTGACCTCTGGCACACGTGGCGGGGTGATGGGGTTTTTTTTCTAGATTTGACGGACAGACGGAAATTGTGCATTAGGGGAATTCGAAGGTGGGTGGTGTTCGGGCTGTATACGTATCGGGCTATTTCACGTCCGGTGAAATTCGATTCTCATCGAAACGGTTTCGATACATTAGGTGATGGCGTTGCGTTGATAATTCGGGGAAATGAAATAAAACAAATCAGGGGATGAGTCCGGAATGAAAATATTTGTGGATTATTTTGTGAATGTCTAGGGGAGGGAGGAATTTGGAAAAATTCATTGGAAGAACTTTTTGCGGAGAATTTTATGGACTGGGGGCCTATTCTCGAGTTTGAGGTGAACGGATTTGTGAACGGAAGTGGCTCCGTTCACGTATCGCGTTGGGGAACGAAAGTTTTCGTAAACGAATCCTAGATCCACATGTGAATCAATTTCGTTGACGGATGTCGTTTTCGATTCACACGTGAGGATACTCGTATGAGGATACAGTTGACCTCTTCTGGGGAACGAAACATTAAACATTAATCGTTTAAATTCTTACCTTACTCCGCGCAGAAGACCTACAAAAAAGGTCTTCTGCGCGGAGAAAAAAGTTGGAGAAAAATTGCTCCACGAGTCAGACTCGCTCCACGAGTCAATTAATCGGGGAGCGATCTAGATTTTCAGTACGCTTTCATCCTACATAAAAATTCTTACACATCCACGAATTTTTATAAAAAATTTAAAAAAAATTAAAAAATTAAAAATTAAATTAATTTTTAAATTTTTAAAAAATTCGTGGATGTGTAAGAATTTTTATGTTCTGAAATTCCCTGGATATTATATGTCATCGGACATTTGTGAAATACAACGTCATATCATGGATTACTCCCTTCACAAAAAAAATTATCATCAGTTGAATGAATCCATTCATTCACTCTTCTTTCAGGTTCTGCCCTTCAGTATTCCTCTACCTCGGAAGCGTAGTCCCTGCGATATGGCTCCTGGAATTGGACAAATTGGACCGAATAATGAGGCCCTCACCTGCGCACATGAATATCTCGAAGACTTTGGACTTATCGCACCTAGCAGCCAAGGATCTCGAGCAGCTGGAGCAGTTGTTCGGGGTGAAAATCTCACACCCAATCATCCTTTTGAACCATTACATAATAATAATCTGACAACATTTTTAGTCTCAAATTCTCACTTTCTGTCGTTTATTTTATTCATTCTATCAAAACACAAGGATAGACATCGAATTTATGGGTATTCTTCCACTATTCGAAAAAATATATCGATTTAAAAATTTTGCGGAGACATTAGTAATTAATTTTTTGATTTCTTCTGGTTTACGTTTTTTTGCATTTTTAAAATTTTTGCGCGTTAAAATTAGATCATAAAACTCCGAAATACTCATGTCCCGCCTACATTCAATGAAAAAACAGTGATTCCAAGTTTCCACCGATAGAAATGAAGAAAAACAAATTGTCTCCATTTTCCAGTCGATTCTTTTTGATTCTTTTCATTTCCTTTTCATAATAATAACAGGAATTCGACCATAGGAATGAGGAGTACCGATATCCTTTTACCTTACGAAGGTCATAATATATTTTCAAAATTTTCAGGAATACGTGGAGAGTTTTTTCTATTACCCGAATGAGATTTTGAATGACTTTTATTTTATGTTTGTTTTGATTTAAAAAAACCCTTTATTGATCTTCAACATAATTCCTCCCTATTTAATGTTGTGACTTGTAAATTAAAGAAAAAAAATATAGATATAATAAGAATACGAATGGATAAAATTAAATTAATCTAATTGTGGAAATTGACGGATAGGGAAAGAAAATAAAATAAAATAGTATAAATTAATCTCGCAATGGACGCGAAGCGCCCGTTTGCTACTTCAGAATAAGACAATTTACATGATTTGCTTAATTCATTTCTCCAGGTCAAAATGCAACTGCCTGATATCCAGATCTCAACAGAAACGTGGGTAACTCTCATAGAGCAGTTTCTGATGTTGGTGCTGATTGTGGGTCGGTGGATGCTACCCAAGGGCGATCTGACTCGAGACCAGTTGAGTCAGCTGCTCCTGGTGTACATCGGAACCGCTGCAGACATCATCGAGTTCTTTGACTCGTTCAAGGAGCCTAGCATTTCTTCTGAAATGATACTGGTGTATCTCACCCTGGGAATCTGGTCTTGGTCTTTGATCCAATTTACTGTGGTGTTGACAGCTACCAAGTCCAGGAAATCGAGATTGTCCACTGGGGGCTCCGTCAGGATGAAGCTGCAGACTGAGACCAGCTGCTGCAGCATTGATGTCTGGGCAATCGCTCTCAACATGATCCTTCAGGTATACAGGATATTTTGATGAGATGCAGTGATACAAATTTTCCACTGAAATTTCCGTTAAGAGTCTTGAAAGTTTCTAACAAAAAACATTTCTAATGAAATTTCAAGGAATTTCGCCAGTGAAAATTCATAATTTCATGGAAAAATCCGTGGGAACTGTAAATTTCAGTTTAATTGTTCAAGGGAAATTAATGAAAAGTCAGGCAAATTCAGAGAAATCTCTCCTGGAATTTCAGATTCTTCTGAGTTTTTAGGAAATTCCGTCAAAAGTTCCTGGAATTTCAAGAATTTTAAAGGAATTGCCTGAAATTTTAACGGAATTTGGTATTGAATGGTCATTTTCACTTCAAAATTTATGATAATGTTGGAACTTCCGTCTTCTTTGACGAGATTCTACAACGAACGCAACGCAGGCTTAATGGAACGCTTGTAATTGTCAAAATAATCGAAAAATAGTGGAACGATTGATTCAAACAATTACATGCGGCGCCGCCCCTTTTCGTTTTTTGTATATTATAGCGCGTTTCTCGACGCGTAAAAATTCCGAAAAAATTAAAGTTCCTAGTTCAATCCTTTTATTAAGTGTTGGCGTTGTCCGTTTTTTATCGGAAATTTGTTTAGCTAAAATAAAAAAAGGAACGTCGAAGAAAGAGACAAGCGGCGCTGCGTCGCCCGGTGCGAGTGGTCCCTATCGACCGCTCGAGCGGCAGTGTTGCTAGATTCACTGCCACACTTGAAATGCGGGCATAGCGGTAAGCGTCAACATGGCAACAGCGCGCTCCGTTTAACGCAACAGCGCTGCGTCAACTGCGCGACGGATGAAGACTAGCGGCCAAGCGCGAGTGATCGAGGATTAAATTGTCAGAGAAACTTGAAATTTCATTGTCTTTTTCCCCTTAAATCGAATTCAAATTCTTTTTCCGGAAAATTCAGACATATTTTGTTATCAATATGTGTGAAACAGTACTATCAGCCAGTTGAATAAGTGTTATCACACTATAATAAATCCAACTAACTAATAACTAATTGCTATAACTAATTTTTATAATATTGAGGTTTTTTGGTATGGGTAACTATGGCATGGGGAAAAGCAAGTGAAAACCCCCAATTATATAATAAATTAATAGCGATCTGATGGAATTATTAAAATTAATTCGCGAGGTGGTCAGAAACTTTAAGCATTATTACCGCCATAATTTATTATCTAATGGGGTATATCTTATGAATGGGAACACCCTTGCAGGCACAGAACCGATTAGTCAAGATGTTTAAGTTAAAATTTCGGAGCTGAAACATCAAAGATGAAATGTCTTCTAGATATTTGTTGATGTTCTGGGCCATTTTTCAGTCAGTTGCAGGAATTGATGAATAGAAAGAGAAGGAAATGAAAACTAAAGAACCCCTCGACGTAGTTGAGAAAGCGCACAACGTTTCGAAGGCATGCGAAACGTTGTGAGCCTTCACAACTACATCGAGGAGTTTAGTTTTCTTTTCCTTCTCATTCTATTCATCAATTCCTGCAACTGACCGAAAAATAGCCCAGAACTTCCACAAACATCTATATCAGAACGGTCGAGAACTTCGTTTTCATGAAATGTCTTCTAGCTGATGAGTCGTGCTATCTTTGACTCGACCTTCGCTACTGCATTACTCCCATCTATGATTTGGTTCTTACGCAGGATGCGCCATTCCTCGCATTTCGACTACTGATAATCATACACTTCAAGATCGTCAGCTACATGAACATCTTCTTCACGTGCAAGAACACTCTGGTCATTCTCCTACAGTTATACCGTCTCTACGTCGTACAGACTGAGAAAAAAACTCGAAATAGAAAAAGGAGGAGGAGAATCGACAAGGAACAGATACCGAGCATTAGTATCGTGTCCAGGGGGGATATGTACGGATGTGAAGAGTGTAGAAGTGGAAGACGGCGACGCAAGGAAGTTGACGTTCCTTCAGAGACAGATTATTCCTCTGAAGAGCAAAATCGATATGAGTTGGCGCCGAAAAACTTGGACAAGTCTACAAGGTATTCAATTATGATGATCAACACATTTAATGTATTCATCCATTCAATTTACAAATTACGCTGTGTAACTCTTCTCACAAAAAACAAGTTTCAGCATAACAAACAAAACATTTTGGATTGATAGTTTTATCGCAAAAGTCAATTATAACATGAGGGAAAAATATAAATCTGTCTCGTCTCCCCTTTCTTTCCTGTGTCGGTCAATTCCATTTTCATTTTGTATTGTGAAATTCAAAATTGAATATGCATATGATTTCCAGATTCGTTGGATTTTTATTGTAGATTGAACCTTCTGTGATAAAAATATACATCAAATCATTTTTGCTTCACTTTTCCCACCAAAAATCGTAATTTTTAGATTTTTTTGACTTGTAAAAAATTAACTGGTCCTACTTTCACTATTCCTCAAAGAAAATTTTTTTGCATATTCGATATGACCTTCAGCAAAATTAATTCCATGAAATTGAGAATTGAGAAGGCGAGTCATCGCCTTCGACTCGTGATATAAACCTCCCATTCGCCAAAAAACCCTTTTTTGCACTCGTTACGAAATATACGATTTCGGTCATATGACGGGATCTAAAAAATGGCGGTCTTGCATTTTTATCTTATATAGAGAATCTAGGGAATCCCAAACGATATCAGTCTTGCCGCGGGGAGACAAACCGGACACATTCACCCAATTAGTGAAAATCTTAACATTTTCTCGGAGTCTTACGGAAACTGTTTCCTGAGTTTAATCATTTCCATTTTGTGTTTTACCATTTTGTGTGATAGGAGAACGAGAAATGACACAGGATACTCTACCTCCAGCTCTAGGAACTCATCGAAACACGAGAAATACCACAAAAGAGAGATGAAACGAAGTTCCTCAACGCGGAGAGAATTCCGTAAGAACGAAGTGACTTATGAAGACGAAAAACGACAATCAAAGGCGGATAAACACATATCAAGGAATTCCCACAAGAGTTCCAATCCCAGCAAATCAACATTGAAATCGAAATCGGAGCGGAAGAAACGAAAGGAGCGAGAAAAATCAGAGTCCATTGAGGAAGATCAGAGCTCCAATTATTCCGTGGAGGAAGAGGAAACACAGAGTGGGAGCAGCGAGACCGAATCAGAGTCTGAGCAAAGGTGAGACCTCTTTTTGAGACAAGTCTTTTAGTTTTAAATAAATAATCGACGATATAAATATAAATTTCACTATAATAAATGCATTGGCTGAAGGCCTACATCTGAAGCGGCCTAGGTTTTGGCCAATTCTATTGAAATTTTCACTGCAAAATATTCTACAGAAAAAATCAATAGAATTCCACTTTTCTATACAACTTATTCTACTAAGATATTTTCTATAGAATTTCCTCGAAGTTTGTTTGATTTTCTCAATAAAAATAAAAATAAAATGAAGAAACTTGGAAAATTTGAGCCGAGGGAATTCTACACAAAATATGCCAGTAGAATAAGTTGTACAGAAAAATCGAATTCTATTGACTTTTTCTATAAAAAATTTCTTGTTGAACATTTCAATAGCATCCGCCAAAAACCAATAGAAAGTTCAATAGAAATCCAATAGAACTGTCTAGGGAATTTGCTGGGTTTTTCTATTAAATTTTTTCGTGCGTGACTAGAAATTTTATCATGTCCTTACAGAACTGTTCATTGACAATTTTCCATAACAATTTTCAAAAAATGTATCGGAAATATTACCAACAAATTATTATCCGTAAATTGAATCATTCACTTGCATTCTAGAATCTCGTACTTCTTCTCATCTTGCAGATATCAACGTCGTAAACGTCGCCGTAGAGAATGACACCGGAAAGTCGGTGTTTTCATCCTATCAATTATTTATTCAGCTATTCTAGCAGTATGTGTTCTGTACATCTACGCAGGGATCAATGGAGGAATCATTTTAGCCTCGATGACTCGTCATGAATCAGAAATCTGAGTCAACTTTTTGCATTACGTAATTTATTCCTCATCTAATTATCAACGGAACAATCACAGTATTTTATGAATTTATTAATTATGTTATTAATCATCCTATCGCGGAGTAAACTGGTGCGTGAAAATAAATCTCAACAGCAATAACTGATTGTTCCCTAAATATCCCGACAATTACAGAAAAATGGCAGACCTTTCTTATTGTCTATAAAATTGTTTATAAAAGAAGTCTTCAGAGAAGTTTTGTCCCAGCTCCCCTCAATCCAGTTTAACAAACATTAAGAATTTTCTTTAAAAAAATCGTCATTTATTATTGCAATTCACTAGCGAAGTGGTAAAACGGTACAAGTCAATTTTGACTATTGACCAGTTTTCAATGAATAGCTCGAAATCTAAGGGAGATAGCAAAATTTTTGTTATAACCTTTTTTGTAGAGTCGATTGAGAGCTACAATAAATGTAACTACGAAAATTTCACTATTTCTTTTAGATTCGGAAATATTCTTCGCAAACTCAACTGGGAAATAAGTCGCTACTGAATTTCATATCACCTTGAAGTAAAATAGAATATTTATTTGTTGTTCATTTCCATGTTCACTGTCACGATTTTTTGTTGCCAATATTCCTCTTTCAATATCGAGGATCTAATGTCAGAAAGTATTTTGAAAGTGAAGTAGAGTCGATTGAGAGCTACAAATAATGTAATTACGAAAATTTCGCTATCTCCCTTAGATTCGGAAATATTCCTCAATAACTCAACTGGGAGATGAGTGTACTTAAACCGTTTCACCACTTCGATACTCAATTATTTTTGTACTGAGTAATTCTACGACAAAATGTCGAAATATTTTTCTCCAGTTCCGGCAATTTTGTTATCGAAAATTCATTCTGATATTTTTCTTTGAACCCATTAATTTTTCAGATGGAATCCTTCGTCAATTATGGATTCATCTGAAAAGCAGTTTTTTTGGGGAGAGATTGAGAGATCGTTTCAACAGTTGAATAAAATTTAAAAAAAAAACTTGACATGTTCTCCCAACTCATCTGCCACCGAGACAATTTTGTAATTCCCCAATCATTCAATTGTCCATCAATTTTACTAAATGTTCAATGTCGTTATCACTCCGTACCGATCGAATTTCGGCACTCACTAGAATTTAAACTATCGATATAGCCAATAAGATCGTCCTGATGCACCCCCATCGATGTACAATACAAAACAGCAGTGTCTGCAATCAATTCCTTCAGACTTTTCTCCGTTTCTTTCGCCTCCCTCTCCCAGTCGATCTTCTTCTCCTCGATCTTCACGTTGATTAGTGCCTTCTCCTCCGGAGGCTTCGAATTTTTCTGCTCCATTTTCTCTGATTGTGGAGGAGAAACACTGGACACTTGACTCGTGGAGGGACTCTCTTTCTTCAAATTAGGATCTGATGTTTTGAGGAGTATCAGAGTATTCTTCTTCCCGCGCCCCAGGACTTGCTGGAGCTTCGCGTGATTCTTTATGCACATGAGATTCAATGGCTTGGATACCTTCGGTTTTGCGGGGTCCAGAGGTGCAGGGGATCCCTGGAGGATTTTATCAGCAGTTTTTTCCTTGATCATTGGACTCTGGGGCTTTTTTGACTCGGATTGAATGGAGATAGTCGGAGGCTTGGAGTTTACGATCCTCTCCTCGATTTTTTTGTACTCAGGGGCCATTACCGAAGCTGCGTAGGAGAGGACCGAGTGGAACGTCCGGTGCATGCAATCCTCGAAGGAGGTTCTGTCGGATTTCCAGTCGATTTTTTGCAGCTCTGGGATTTTTCGTTTGGGACGGGGTGGGGCTGGGGGGACAATTTCGACGTCTGGATTTTTGGGGATCTCGAGGTAAGATTCTCCGTCGAAACTGGCGAAGCAACGGCCGATAAACTCAGCTGCAGGACCCACCTGAAGGTAAAAATGGGCTCATTTATCTTGAGAATGGATTATTGTTTTAATAATTTATTTGTGAATTACAGAGAAATCGAAGAATTTTTTTCGTGCAGTAAAAGTCTTTTACTTTTATTTTCCCTAAATCTACAAGTTGTAGATAAAATTTCAGTCAATATTCAAAACAATTATTATTTTTCAACGGAAAAATCCTAGTGTGCAAAGACAGGGGAAAGTGAGGTAAAATGGATACTTTTGACTTTGTTGAAATGTTAATAATATTTTGAAATGTTAATGAAATATGATAATTTCTTTTCCCACTGACCCTAGATTGGTGACCATATGAAGAAAACACGCCCGTGCGTCGTTTTTCTTCAATTACCATTGACTGGCTAACCGGAAACATTCAAAAAAAATTAACTTTGTCAATTGAAATGTTTAAAGAATTATAATACTTTTTAGAACAACATATTTCCCGAAATTCCTAAAGAAAACGAATTATTTCGAGCAAATGAATTATTTTTCTCCGTGTTAAATAAAATTGCCCATCAAGTGATGTTGCCGGAAACTCGCTAAACGCGCCCGGGCACTGTAGAGTGAATTCGGCAACGCTAGAGCCTAAATCACACGGCGGGGAATCCCCACGGAGATGACCAGAGTCGCAGGGTTGCGTTTGGTGACCAGACTAGGGTTAAATGTAAAATTCGTGCCCTTTGTAATGAACCTAGATCGAGCTGAATTGTTGAATTTATTTCTGAGTTATGAACATCAGAAAAAATGTCGAAAGAGTCCATTTTGCCTCACCAATATGGAAACACTTTTAGATAATTAATTAATTTGATTCAATGATTACTGAATGAATAGTGAAATTGAAGAACATTAAGACAAAATAGCATATTTCATCACACTGAAAAGTTATGTTCGTCACTCGGCCGAAATAATAGTATATGTCAGGGCGAGTGCCATGCGGTTTTTTATATAATTTCATTTTTCACACGAGTAATGAAAAAAATTATGGATATTTTCCCTGAGATATTTCCTGTTGAACACTTCTATTGCAGAAAAAACGCGCAAAAAGGGTGCGGAATTGTTCAATAGAATTCGCGAAAAATTAATGAAAATTTCCAATAGACGTTCAATAGATACCCTGTAGAATAGTCTAGCGAACGCGTTAGGCTTCGTCATGGTTTTTTTGTTTTCAAAAAATGTTCCCCAACATTTCTCTCACTTATTCGATAATTAATCTCTGAATGAGTATTGCTAATATCGATTATAACTTTAATACAATATATATTATTGTGAATACTTTTATAACGAATTAAAGGGAAGGGAACAAAATGTGAAAACCCCAGAGAGTATACATGTGCCTGAATAAATAAATAATTTCCAAATGCATTATGAGCTTCATTTATTACTAAAGATGCGAAGGCGTCATGTGACCGGTCATAAAGTGGTCATGGTGGTGGTGACCGTCAATGACGGTCACATGACGAGCCTCCAATGACCGCCGATCCGATCTCAAAAAATTTTTCCATGACGGTCACAATTGGCCGAAAAACTGTGACGGTCATTTTGCATCTATATAGATGAAACACTTTTTTGTTCATCTATTTCTTTTCTAATTAACTAGAACTCTTGACTTTGTTTATTTTGTTCCAATGATGAAAAGTATAATCATTCTCTCATGAATATGCAAAAAAATATGTCAGCACATGTTTCATAATTTTATAATTAAAAAAAGCTGTTGTACAGTTGTACACATACATTTCGAGTCTTCCATAAGAACCTTATAATAAACAATAATTGATAATCAATAATAAATTGAACGTTTAAACGATGCCAATTATGTAGAAATTATATGACCGGCACAAAAAGCAATATATTTATGACGGTCATTTTACACCTATATAGATGGTTTGGTAACGGAAATTACTATTTTACTCTTTTGACGGTAAAAAATTCTTTGTGACGGTCACAAAAAATTTGTGACCGTCATTTGCCATTAGAAATTTCGGGACGTCACACGATCGTCATTTTTTGGTCATATGACATAATCACAAAAATGTCGGTTATTTCGCATCTCTGTTTCTTACTACTCTACATCAAATTTTAAGGAATTGTTTTAAAAAATTGGGGAAGAAAATTTCTATTACCATGGGAGGAGTTACCTGGGGATGATAAACAGGCCTCTCATGCATTCCATGCGTCGGCCACTCCCTCCACTCGAACTCCTCTTGGATATTTGGTACCTGAAGAGTAGCTCCGACGTTGTACAGCCGCTTGGTCACTGACCTGGTGTTCATGTAAGGCACATCCGATAATTTCAGTCTCTTCTCGTCCGGCTCATTCGTCTCACCCCCTCCGCGTCTCAGCGCCAAGAGCCTGGGACGAGGGAAATCCTTGTCGATTTTCTTTTTTGATAGGCGAGAAGGATTTCTTCGCACTTGTGAACTTCTAAATTCAAAGATTTTTTGAATAATGAACAAGTAATTTTTTTTCTCTATACGCAGTGCATAAAGAATTGTCAACAATTTTTGTGATGAAATTTATTGATCAATGCATTATGAAATAATTGGTTTATTGATAATTGTGTTACGAAAAATCATTAAAAAAATCTTAGAATAATTATTTTTGTTGACAATTATGCATCAATAACTCAGGCTCAAAAAATTAGAGAATTTTTTTAAAGGATATCCAAGTGCTTTGGCTGTTTTTTCTCCAATGAAATACTTTTCTACTTTTGCAGTTGAACATCCGAGCTTGCATTTAAGCCCATTTGACCCTAAATTTTCGGACATTTTTCAACGATGTTATTATTTAAACTTTCCAAATCTGAATTGGAATCTCGATATTGAACCGTTAGAAAACATTTGTTTATCTTATTAGTGTTACAAAACCTTTTAAATATCTGAAAAAAAAATTGGAAGTTCACTTTTGGCGGAAAATTGATGAAATAATTTAAAAAGTGCAATTTCTGAACATTACGAGCATTTTCTATAAATAATTTATAAACAACGAATGTTAAAAAATAATAATTCTGTGCAAAATGTAATTTGAATGACGCTGAATAGCCATGATTTTTTCAAAAATTTTCTCACGTAATTTAATTGACAAATTTGATGATTAAAAATAGTTGAATCTATACTGTGGTCTCTACCAAACTGTAAAAGATACTTGGACAGCCTCAAGAATAGAGATTCTTCAATAAATCTTAGAAACATTATTTTGTCAGAAATTGAAAAATGTAACAATGGAAAGTTCACGAAATAATAGTTTAATGAAAAATCATTCGATTGGAGAAAATTCTTGAATAATTATTTTCTCAGTAATTGAATCTTGAAAAAATTATGAAACAATTTTTTCATCAACAATAATTAATCTTTCGATTCTGAGATTATTTATTTCTCCAAGCAATATTCACTAACAAATGATGGGATAATTTTATTTTACAAGAATAATCCATAAAGGAACAATTGTGTGTAGTAATTTTTTTCTACGATTTTTTACTTGTTCTTTTCAGGTTGGATGATACGTTTGGGTCCATGTCCATGCATTTGTTGACTGAGTCTCTTCCTCAACGAATTGATCGAGCTCTCCATGGGCGTCTTAACAATTTTGTTATCCTGTTTAACTAGAATAGTGCCGGGTGGTAATTTGGGAATGAAAAGCTCTTTTTCAGATTTGTCCGTTATTCTGATACAGTAGTGGAGCTCCCCGCGAGAGTGCTCTGTCCTCCCAACGCCTCCGTCGACGTTGAACTGACGGTGGAGCGCCATTTTTGTGGTTTTGTCACCCAAATCGACTATCCTCAGCTTCTCGCCGGGTTCTCCAGGATTCTTGCAGCCCGAGGCTGCAGTCGGAGGTTCCGTGAGGAGAATCACTTTCCGCTTTGGAGCAATAAGGACTTTGGGAGTATTTTTGAACCTTGAGTCGTCCATTTGGGGTTTTCAGTCGAGTTTAGCGACTTCGATGCTTTCTAAACGTTTTCTGTTTTTGTTTTCAATGAACTGATGCTCGTTTATTTCAATAATTGAGGGGAATTTCTGGGTCAATGTTTTTGTTTTGAAGCGATGGCGCGGCGGAGTGAGAAGTAGTAAAAGGCTTGAGGTCAGACGAGAATTCAGCGTAAGTAGATAAGTCCGAAGAGGAGTGTTAGATTATTTCGTTGTGAATTTTTGGGGTCAATGTTTTTGTTTTGGAACGATGATGCGGCAGAGTGAGAAAGTAGTAAAAGACTTGAGGTCAGACAGGAATTCAGCGTAACTAGAAAATAAGTCCGAAGAGAGTTGTTTATTATACATTCTGTAGCGAAATGGTAAACCGGGTTGAGTCGATTTTAACTATTGAGCAGTTTTTAACGAATATCTCGGAATCTAAAAGAGATAGAAAAATTTTTATCATGAACTTTTTTGTAGAGCCAATTAGGGGTTATAAAAAAGGTCATGAGAAAAATTTTTCTAACTGTCTAAGATTCCGAGATATTCATCAAAAACCGGCGAAAAGCCAAAATCAACTTAACCCGGTTACCACTTCGTTACTGAATTATTTTGGTGTGAATGTGTGGGGTCAATGTTTTTGTTTTGGAACGATGATGCGGCGGAGTGAGAAAGTAGTAAAAGACTTGAGGTCAGACGGGAATTCAGCGTAACTAGATAAGACGGAAGAGGACTTTTAAATTCTGCAGCGAAGTGGTAAACCGGGTTAAGTGGATTTTGACTATTGAGTAGTTTTTAACGAATTTCTCGGAATCTACAAGAGATAGAACAATTTTTATCATGAACTTTTTTGTAGAGCCAAGTGAGGGTTATAAAAAAGTTCATGAGAAAAATTTTGCTAATTGTGTAAGATTCCGAGACATTCATCAAAAACTGGCCAAAAGTCAAAATTAATTTAACCCGGTTTACCACTTCGTAACTGAATTATTTTGGTGTGAATGTTTGGGATCAATGTTTTTGTTACGGAACGATGACGCGGCGGAGCGAGAAAGTAGTAAAAGACTTGAGGTCAAACAGGAATTCAGCGTAAGTAGATAAGTCCGAAGAGGAGTTTTAGATTATATTGTTGTGAATATTGTCCGGATGAAGACGTTTAGAGAAATTAATTGAAGAATTTATTCCCGTAGAAAATTTCGGACGCTACGGAGAGGTCTCGTGATAAGTTCCCCGAATCAATTAGTTTCAGAAATTGTTTGCGAAATAAAATCTAGAGAGGGAAGGGCGAAGGGGAAACTTCACTTTTTTAAGTTGATAACTAAATAAAAAAATGTTCCCCTCAACAAACTGAGAAATAAATTCATCAGTCGTGCTTACAGTTTTAACGCAGCGTAAAGGTGAGGAATTCTACTTTCTATGGAAACATGTCCCATTTCATCAATAATTCAATTAGTCACTAAGATTTAAAAAAATCCAAAGTGCATAAAAGACTTTTATGTCACTCGGCCCGAAAGGCCGCGATTTTAATCTCGCTCCGCTCGGTTAGATCGCGGGTTTCAGGCTCAAAGACAAAAAATATTTCATGTCACACGATGATAAAAATATTTTTTCATCACGCTGTATGAAAAAGTAACGTTTTACACATTGTGATGAAAAATATCGTTCGATACTCATGGGAAAAGTGTTTTTTGGCTCGTGGGAGGTTTAGAGCACGAGCCGAAGGCGAGCAAAAAACTCTTTTCCGCACTCGTAACGAAATATACTATTATGTCACTAGGCCCGATAAACCGCGATTCTAACCGCGCTTCGCTCGGTTCGATCGTGGTGTTCGGCCCCACTGAAATAAAATGTTATATATCTCACAACGATCAAAGTCTCAAACGATATTATCTAACTCATGTGATTAGAATCCTCGCCTTCGGGTCGGATTGTAAAATCACATTCGTCAGGTAATAATCGTAAGACTTTTATCGCGGATGACATAATATAGGGGAGAGTGAAACAACATAAAACAGTCGAAAAATGACTGTTTGACGTAATTCAAGCAAGAAAAAATTTTTATTCAATTTTTTTTTCTTTAACGACTTTTAATTTAACTTTTTATTAACTTTTTTTGCTTATCAACTTTTTTTTATTCTTGGGAGATAGTAGGATGGAAAATTATTGAGAAGTTGTGATGGGAGAAGATTTTGTTGATGGATTAGTTGAAAAGAAAATGAAATACCAAAATCCAAAGTCTAGAGCAAGGCTCAGGGGGAGACCCCCTCATCAAGAAATATATAAAAATATATATAATATAGGCCAATTCCATGTATTTTTCAAATTTATAAATAATATATAAAAGAAATATATAAAACATATATTTTATGTATGTTACAGAGTCAGAGGGGGAAAAAGCCAAATACCATGCTGAATTTCAATCGAATGAAAAAAAACGTGTAATCGGCCTAATTTAATCAATTGAATCATAATCCTTTTGAATTATAAGACGAATAGAAAATTATTATTCTCATTAGTACTCCCAATAATAAAAAAAGTTGATAAAAAAATTTTTGCCCCACTCTTCCCTACTAATCTGACTCATGTGATTATAATCCCAATATTATAATAATCACATTTTGCACGTTGTTCAATGATTTTATTGTTGTTATCCTGTTAAAAATGCGTTCTTTATTCAAATATTACCAAATAAAATTCTACTTACACTAGCACTCGTCTAGATATCCGATAATACAGGTACCACGAAAATACGAAATGTTTATCGTTCGTATTGCACGTTTGACTAGATTAAATAACTAAAGGTTTCTCTGGGTACATTGGAAGTTTGGTACTTAGTTTCTGAATAATAAATATTTACAACACAAATGAATGAGGGATTTTCCAGCGTTAATGCAAGTTATCTGCAGTGAGGGTGAGAGTTGTTAGGCTCGATCTTCGGTTGGGATTCACTCCGAGATTTTCCCAATTTATCCATGCGAGGCGAGCCATTAAATCTGCAATTGTATTGCAAATTAACATTAGAAATTAATTGAAATCCGTTTTTGAATTATTTCTCGTCAATAAAAAACAAGTAACAGAATAAATCAATTTTGAAGTTGATAAATTTGACTCCTGCAGAGTATTCTTTGAAAACAACCGTAGTGTAATAATTTAATGAAATTAGAGGGTTAAACAAAATATTAATGCCTCTTAAACATGAATGAATGAGATTTTAAATTGATTTTCCCCTGAACCAATCTGAGTATTTTTACTTTCCTTTAACTCAGAGCCGCAACCACGGAAATAGTTTATTTTAAATCCATAAACTTTATGTTAATGAGATAAATGGATTTGTTCCAATAGCTTATAATAAAGCTCTTATTTATAATTAAACTTATATTAAATTTACGTTTTTATTAAAATCAAATAAATAGTCGTTTTTTTTAATATAAAAAAAATGTTTTCTTGATGAAAATTAAGACTACATGAATTTGGAAATGAAATAATTGTTTAGACAGCGAAGATAACGAATTCGCTAACGTGTAATAATCCTTTATTAAAAATGAATTAATTATTTATTTCATACAATTGAATTATTTTGAGTGACATAAATATAAAAAATGGCAAATTGAAAGTTTTATTTGACTCAAATGCGTCATTTCTGTGGGTGCAATATAGAGAAAATAATATTCTTCGAATAAAAATGTTGATGAAAAGAATGAGAATGAACTAAAACTGAATAAATTGAAAATAATTATTCTAGTAGAGAAAGAAATAAAATTATTGGTTATTGATTATTGATTTGACATTTACCACTGGTATTCCATTCAGCCCTCTCACTACTCATTTCACCCCTGAGGCACATTTCGATGTACGTCAGAGGGTCGACATTTTTCACTTTGAGGACTTCGGTGAGCAGTGCGATGTACGCAATGGCAAGTCGAAGGGTATCAATTTTCGACAAGCGCTTTTCGTAGGGAAACGTCGGTACGTGCCCCCTAAGCGCGTCGAAAGCCGAGTTTATGCTGCTAAAAATTTCAATCCCACTTAGAATCCAAGAAAACTTATTAAAATCCTTCTTTTAAATTTTTTTATTTATCATTTCAAAGTAGTTATCTTACCTAAGCATTCGTCGACGCTCGCGAATGTTCGCTGCGTGCCTCTGGATTCTGTAGGGGCTACCGTTGGGGTAGTAACCCTCGTCGACTCCATTCATCTCGTTATCATTGTGGTCTAAAAATAGGAATAATTCGAAAATCGATTAATTGGACTGTTTAATTAGAAAAACAAATCAATGCCAACAATTTAAAAAAAAACATTTTTTCCATATTTTGACATAGATTTTCCTCAAACTCTTCAAATTCTCAGAACTGCACACATAAAAATTATAGAAATTATGATTTATGATTGAATAAACTTTCTTTAACCTCTCAAGAACGGCGCCCTAACACTAACCTTTTTGCGTGCTACACGAAGAGAAATGTTCAGTAAAAGTTACGGAACTCACAATTCACTCACCGATTACGGAATCGACTCAGAAAATTTAAGTGACGGTCTCGTCATTTTTCACAGGAGATTCAGTTAAAAATTACGGAACGCTCTAGAAAAATTCCGTGACAGTTTCGTAAAATTTCCTACCACCACATTTCTCTCCAGAATTACGAAAAATATACGTAATTTTTATTGAATATTTCTCTCCGTATAAAGACGAATATTGAACCAAAAAAATTTAATAAAAAAACCTATCGAATTCGTTAAAAAATTCTATTAAATTTCTATTGAACTGTTCTATTAGTTTTTGACCGATTCTATTAAAATGTTCAATAGAAAATATTCAGTAGAAAAAGTCAATAGAACTCAATTTTTATGTATAACTTATTCTATTAAGATATTTTCTATAGCAATTCCTCGGCACAAATTTTCTAAGTTTTTTCGTTTGATTTTCTTGATGAGAAGAAAAAAAAATAGAATGAAAAAAACTTAGAAAATTTGAGTCGAGCAAATTCTATAAAAAATATATGAAAAGAATAATTTATATAGAAAAATCAAATTCTTTTGACTTTTTCTATTGAATGTTTTCTATTGAACATGTCAATAGAATCAGCAAAAAACTAATAGAAAGTTTAATAGAAATTCAATAGAATTTTCTAACCAATTCGATAGGTTTTTCAATTACATTTTTTCGTGCGTGATACGATTCAATAACTTCCAATAGCCGCGAAATTATACATATAAACTAGGAATAATCAAAGTCAAGCTATTAGTCTTCACAGAAGAATTTGCAGAAATTTGTAAAGTTCTATATCTTCGAAAATATTCAACTTTGAAAAGACACATTCAATAAAAATTACGCATCTTTTCCGTAATTCCGGAGCGAAATATGGCTGTAGGAAATTTTACAGAACCGTCACGGAAGTTTTCCAGAGCGTTCCGTAATTTTTATCTGAATCTCCTGTGAAAAATGACGATACCGTCACTTAAATTCTCTGAGTCGATTTCGTAATCGGTAAGCGAACTGTGAGTTCCGTAATTTTTACTGAACATTTCTCTCCGTGCATATGTGGTATGGAGGTCGCGTTTAAGGCGCTAAAGGAGCGAGAAATTCTAATATTTGCAAAAATCTGTGCTATCTGTATTTTGGAACAATCATGCATAAGATTTTAGGTTTTCTTTAATTTTTCTCGTAAGATTTTTGACTCGATAAAACTTCCAAAAATTCTCATATAATTTTCCGCAAATTCTCACTTCATCTACAGTTTTAAATACCACAAAACAAATGTTGTGGACTCTGCTCAAATTGTCATACAAAACCGTTCTTATCCGATTCCTGATACTTTCTTGCGCCATTTGAGCCCAATTTGAACTTTTTACTCGAATTGGATTAATAATTAGTGTTGATTTTTTGTTCAGTCCAAGTGGAGCGGTAATACTGCTCGGCTAGGTGTCAATACCACTCAGTAATTCTATGCGTTGTAATGATGAAGAGTGTGTAATGATGAGAAGTGTATGTGTGCATAATAATAAATGCATTTGCATTTTTCATTTCTTCAAACTAAATGAATCAACTTGAGTAGTTACACTGAGAGAAAAATCTGAAGTACGATTTACAATAAGAAAATAGTTGAGGCATTTTGGTGAACGATACGATTTTTTTTGTATGCGGTACATAACATTATAGTAACTTCACAAGCGTAATTTTTGCAAATCAAAATTCAGTTAAACTAACCAAAGTTCAAAAGTAACCACGACAAATCTATCGTGAGGAGAACTATAAATTAGTTGCAATGACTACATTCCATTGTAGTAATTACTTCTCCGGCCATAGTTACCGTAACCCATGAAAAATTGTTGAGGACTTTTTGACTATAATTGGATGGTGATGGAATATAGTCAGAAGAATTATATTTTTCTCTCAGTGTAATAAAAAAACAATCACAATTCACAATTCTCTATGGGATGCAACAAATATTAGTGTTGACTCTCTTTTTCAATATTCACTCAATTCGCTTCATTGTTTTTTTTTTCAATAATTTGACAGTGGTTGGTTCGAGGATAGGATACAGTGCGAGAGAGATATTCACACCGAGAGAAAAATTTCCTGATATGTAGGCCATATTTATTTCAGAGAAGTAAATTATTTTCATTGGCTTGATTTCAGAATGTTTGCGCTTCACGGAACTCGAATGAATTCTCATTTATCACTATCGTTCCGCGGTAGATCATCAATATATTATTAATCAAAATATTGGAAGTTCATTAAAAAATCATGAATACAATAAATACTCGAAGATTGACGATTCTTGTACGCGAATTGAATGAGTTCATGTGTGGAAAAATTATACTTGTGAATATTTTCACGCGTGAGACCTTTTCCGAGCTACGCACGTGAGTTGAGATGCCTGGGAGAATTAAGCGATTGAAGAAAAATTACCTGCCCCAAGTAAATATGTTTCAGATATTAGAATTTTTCCTCAGTGTAGCAGACTATGATATTAGATATTGGAGTCCTACGAGCGGTATTACCCGAGGGCAAGTCAATTCTACCTAAAACTTGAACTTTCATAATCTTTTTTTCCCTAAATTCGATTCAATGTCACTCTCATGACATGAGATTTACTATATTATCTGTTATGAAATTTGAAAACAATTTTTTTTATATTTTCAGTGAAGGTTTAAGATGTAAAATTGACATTTCCCCTTAGGTAAGCGATACAGGCGCACTTTTCCTATTCTTCAATACTAATCTCCGCTCCGGAAGAACGCTCTGGAAAAATTCCGTGACAGGTCCATAAAATTTCCTACAACCACATTTCGCTCCGGAATTACGGAAAAGTTACGTAATTTTTATTGAATATTTCTCTCTGTGCTCTGATTATAAGAAACTCATTGAGATGAGATGGAGTCAACAATTTTGTTAATTGTCCATTAACACTGGAAATGCTTGATTTTGTAAGAAAAATTTCCATTGACAATAATTATATCATATGAATAAAGTCTTTCTGATCTTCAAATTTCAAGGAGAATTCAAGGGAATTAGTGATTTTCAAACAGCGATCAGACAAATATTTTCCAACCCATTCGCATTTTCAATTCATTTGAAGTTTAAAAACATGTTTAGCAGACTTTTCCTAATTTTTCTTAATTTTGAAACTGAAATTAACTACTTTCATTAATTTCCTCACTAAATTATGAGGAAATTCTTTAGAAATGTGACTTTCCAATGAAGAGATTCTTTGAAAGTTTAGTGGATGTATCACCCTTTCAAAACCTCCGCGATTCGACATGGAAAATTTAGACAAATATTTTTAATCGTGCTATGTAAGCCAACATTTTTGTTTATTATTCCCCCTATCCTGAATGTTAACCAATAGAAATGCAATAATTGACGTTTTGTAGTAGAGCGTATGTAAAATTCTTGCGATAACTTTTGTCTTTTTAGTCGCATGGCAATCTTGAATGAAAATCTTCTGTTAAGGGGAGACTACTATGAGTTTTAAAAGTCGTGGGTTATTGGAGTGAGACTTTTCATACGTTGAAAATCGATTATATAGATCTGAAAACGAAGAATTAGTGCAAAAAGAAATTTTTTTCATTGTTCATTTGCCCGAAAACGCTTAAAATGCGAAAAACAGTCCAGGGCCTCCAATTTTTCAGCTACAAAAGATTTTTTTTCAAAATTTTCAGAAAAATGTAGGGAACAACAATTACGAGCCATTTTTTTGGAATTCGACTCCTACACAGCTGATTTCGTTTTTTTTCATATAAAAAAATTCACTATTTGTGTGAAAAAATACAAAAAAAGCAAATTTAGCTATGTAAGAGAAGAATTTAAAAAAAACTATTATTCCACATATTTTTCCGAAAATTTTGAAAAATAAAATCCCTCGTAGCTCAAAAATTGGAGGCCCTGGACTGTTTTTGGTATTTTAAGCGTTTTCGGGCAAACGAACAATAAAAAAATTTTTTTTTTACACTAATTATTCGTTTTCAGATCTATATAATTGATCTTCAATGTATGAAAACTCATTCCAATAACCCACGACTTTAAAAACTCACAGTAGTCTCTCCTTAAAATAAATAAGGTTCTGGTGTACGAATATGGCTTTAACGCGCAAAAACTTTGAATACTGCATTTTTATGGATCCAAATTCGGATGAGGAAATAATCCAACCGAACACCCCTTGCGCTCTAAAATTGTAGAAAATTTTCCTCAAGTTCTCCTACACATCCGACCGGGATAAGTTTTGCAGTAAAATCCCTCGCGCTGCTATGCAACAAAATTAAATAATTTTCGACAATTTTGGATCACTTGTCACATTTTGGAAATTTTTATCGAATTCAATTAGCACTGAAATTTCAAGGAATTTCGTCATTGAAAATTCAGAATTTCGTGGAAAAATCAAAGAGAACTGTAAATTTCAGTTCCATTTTTCCCTGAAAATGAATAGAAAACCAGCAAATTCCGGTAAATATATTCTTGAATTTTCAGGACAGTGACACTGAATGCGATTTAGGGGCAAAAAATCATAAAATTGCAGATTTCTCTGAAAATTTAATGTAATTTGGTACTCAATATTCATATTAGATTGGAAATTGAAATAAATTAAGGAATTCTCGTCTTTATGCTGCTTAAAATTATGGAATTTTTCGGAATTTTCAGTGAAACCTAAAATTTCATCATTATTTTCCCCTAAATCGCATTCAGTGTTACTCTCCTGAAAATTATTAGGTAACTGTCCATGAAATTTTATTTTTTTTCTAACAATGTACATCGAAAAAAATTTTCTAGAAAAATTCATGTGCTGGCGCCAGAAATGAGTTACAACTTGCGCACTTGCAAAATTATCGTGTAATATCCAAAAAATTCTTGTGTAGCACCAGAAAAATTATTATGGGCAGCATGATTTGTCTGTATAGCTACACAATAATTTTTCCAACTGTGCGAATATTTCTAGAAAAATTTCCTCCGTGTATAAATACCTGGAGTAGAAATGGGCATATGATAATGTATCGGCGAATGCGTGTGCGGTGAGGAGTGCGTGTTCACGTGTTGCGAGGATCTCCCAGCATAGACGCACGACGGCAAATCCGCGAGGTCCTCCTCGCCAATGTCACTGCTGCCACCGACATAATACTGAGAACTAAAAAAAAAATCCTCAAATTCACAAAAGTCGAACCCCCACCAACTTCACGCGAGAAAATAAATTACCCAGTGCAAATATTGTTGTCATTAGCCTTGGACGGCCCTCCCCTGTGTCTCCCATTCATCCTCTGCCCCCTCTCCTCATAATTATACCCCAAGTGCGACGCCATCTCACCCGCAACCTCTCAAAACGTCACGAGTGTAAAATAAAAATCACAGAAATTCAGATATCCATCACCAACAATTTTTTATTTCCATAAAAAAAGGTTTCGTCGCACCAAAAAATCCGAAAGTCCTTTCAACCCTCAACTTTGAATTATTTTCTTCAATTTACAACATGAATTTTTATTTTCAACGAAATGATTCAACAAAATGAATTGTTCAATGATTCGATAATTCAGTTTTGGAATTTGGACGAGTAGTCACGGACATTCAATCGCAAACTGTCAGAGAATTCCCTGGAGATTTGGTCTTTATATACTCCCCCGACACCACGACAGGGTAGTTGAATCGATACCAACCCCTGGGCGGGGCGAACACAGCCAATCGTAGCCCTCGAAACTGAAAATTATTATCATCCCCCGTTCCCATTGGCCGGTAATTTAATACTGCAATTTATTTTCGTTGAAACAAACGGAGAAATCTCACACACCAGCCAAGCCACTGTGGTTTATCGTTACTGCGCTTGAACGAAGTCATTTTATTTACTGAGGTGTGTTTAAATGCGTAAAGTGCCTGGGAGCCATCGCTATTTTATGTCCCGGAGGAGGGGATCGTTTCAATTTGTCCGAGCTATTCCACTCAAATTGCTTTATATTATTCACTCGGGCGAAAATTATTCGAATTATTTTTTTATGGTTTTTTTGGGGGGTGGAGGCGGTGCCGAGGTGGGGG